CCCCGGCCCTATTTTTGGACAGGATCCATCAGAAAAGTAAAAGGATTCAGCCCATTTCTTGACCTCTTTGACCTTAGTCAGAAGTGGGTCTATCATGACTAAGACACTGCTCAATGCTTTAAGTAGAGGAAGGCCACTGTAGCATGTGGCTTAGTTATACTTTGTATCTCTGTATCTCCTGATTTGTATCTTGTTATTTTCCTCCCTGAGGACCATGAGGAAATACAGTGTTACAGAATGTTAGAGTAGGTGATTCCTAACGACAGGATAAAGGAAAGTCAGCTTTGTTTTTACCAAAACTCATGAAATTGCTCAATAATGCTGAGATGACTCATCTTAGTACTTTATAATCACAGTACCCGTTCTCCCTTAAAAACAATGTTTCAGGGAAGTAGGTCCAATTATGTTAAAATCCCCTCTCTCTGACTCTGTCTCTTGTCTGTCTGTCTCTCTCTCTCACACACACACACACACCCCATCTATGTAAAGAACAAAACACCTATAGGAAGGGGATTTAGCTCAGTGGCATCGTGCCTGCCTCACAAGCACAAGGTCCAGAGTTCGATCCCCAGTACCAAGAAAAAAAAGAAAAAGAACAAAGCACCTTGAAAAAAATGATATTTACATTGATGGGTTAAGACCATGGAGAATTTTTCTTTTCTTAACTTTTCCCGTATTTTCCAAGTATTATTTAGTGAACACAAACTACTTTTGTCATTAAAAAAAAAAAACAAAAACCAGCCACAACGAATGCTCGTACCTAAAAGCCGAGACTGGGGTCAAGGCGAAGTTCAGACCTTGTCTCTCTCAGCTCACCCTCTGGGAAGACCCGTATGAGCCTCCCTGGCTGCTCTGGGCTCATTTCTGGACATCAGGCATCCACTTTGGAACCTTACCTCATCAGCTCTGGGGACAGACAGGCAGACAGACGGGTCCTCTCTGCCATTTAATCCCTTTCCCCGAGTGCTCCTGCACCTTCCATGGCTCCCACTACCCCTCCAAGATCATCTTAGGCTGGATTCAGCACTTCGTCCCATCCCTCCCTCCTCCAAAACAAATAAATCGACTCCCTCAGAATCCTCAACAAGGTAGAGTTTGCTGCTGCCTTTTCTTCGGGACAGTTAGATTCGTGTTCTCCTTGTGTTTCTCACAATGCCTGCTCGTACTCTGCTGGTCCTCTCCCTTTCCCCCAGGTCACCCCCTGGGGCCTCCTGTGCTGACATTACCCCCTTCCCCCTCTGGTAAGAAGAGAGGCCAGCTGGTGGCCAGCCCGGCTCCTTCAGACAAATCTCCTAGGTCTATAGTTTGATTCAATGAAGCTTAAAGGTCCCCGGAAGCCGGGCGAACACCTCGTATATGTTTAATATCCTGGCAGCAAGATCCAACTGCTCTCAGGAGCCACGGTCGGGCAGGGTGGGAGAGAAGAGGGGCTGAGCTGCGTGAGGTCGCAGCCGGACCCTCTCTGAGCTGTGTGCCCTGAGGTGGCACGGTGGGGCCTGAGGGGTCACAGGCCCTGCAACAAGCGTGCCATGTGTGAAGGCTCACAAAGCATGCGCCTAGATACGACAAACTTGTCAGTCAAGCAAACAGACCTTACATAAAACACGCTCTGTCCTCCCACCTTAACAAAAATACCTTCAGAATGGCCGGAATCCAGGGTGGAAGTTGGAATTCTTGGACTCCTTCGAAGCCATCGCCAGGGCACGCCCGCCTGGGAGGAGCTGGCCTAGCCCCGCCCTCACCTCGCTGTCCATTCCAGCCCCACGGCTATTCTGCCTGTCCCGCAGCGGTAGACCTCTCAGATCCCCACCAGGACCCTCCTGCCACTGGGGCAAGTTCCTCCCCATCGGTGCTTTAAGGTTGGCGTGCGTAGGCGGCACGGACCGCTGCTCTCGCCGGAAACAGGCGCAGGTGGAGAATCCTGGCTCCCTGCATTGTCCATAAAATTAGGGAGGATGTAGAATGGTCAGATCCTAGTTTGTAATCTTCGAAGAACCTCTCCAGGACCCTGAGGAACATCGAGGTTCAGGCCACTGTTAGTTGCCAGTGCTCCTAGAAGGCAAAGGGGTGGGTGGATTTGGTGACTTGTGTGTGTGCACGTGTGCGTGTTGCATGTGTATGTGTGTGCGTGTGTCAGGGGGGTACTGGGGATTGGGCCCAGGCTCTTCTCAATGAGCAACATTCCCAGCTCTTTTATAGTTTTTATTTTGAGACAGGATCTCACTAAGTTACTAAGTTCCCTACACTGGGCTGGAGCTTAAGGTCCTCCTGCCTCAGCCTCCAAGACTACGATTTCATGGTTTCTGAGAGCTGTTTATTCCACGTGCTTGGCTGAACAGGGTCGCTGGGAAGGGAGGCTCTAGAAAGGCAGAGCAATCAGCGGGCTTCTTTACTCTCCTTGATTAGGTAAAACAGTCCTTCCTGATACCTGGGCTAGAAGGCGGAACTGAGAGGCAAAGCTGGCCCAGGGCTCGGAGAAGACCCACTGCCTCTGTGTACTTGTGTCCGGGCCTCTGACCCGCAGGTGTGGGCCAGTGAGAGGTGCGGGGCCGCTCTGCAAGCCCGGAGCTCCGAGCAGAGCCTGAAGGGAGTGGGAGGGGCTTGGTTGCGGGCCTGAGGCCCTGCGGATCTCCCATCCCCCACTGGGCTGAGCTTTATCGCCTGCTCCATCCTAGCTGAGCTCTGAAAGTCTGCCAGAAAAGCTCCCTGTGTCCTCAGGCATTACTGGCTTAAGGACTAGAACTAGAAAAGTCTGAAGGGGGTTTCACACACACACACACACACACACACACACACACACACACACACACGGTATCACCTTAAGGCCTACGTTTGCGGAAGAAAATGATTTGGGATGGGGTCACAGGTGAGAGGTCACAGAATCCACAGCCTGACCTGCTCTGAGATCTACTCCTCTTATGCCAAAGCAATAGAGCCTAAGTCCACTGGCCTGGTTTCGAGCAAAGGTCATTATCCCAGTACCTGCTCGCAGACCCACTTTTTCATTCCAAGAGTAAACATGGGAAATGCCACCCGGGCTTGGAAAGAAAAAGGATGAGCTGGAGATTTAGCTCAGTGGTGCTGCCACCTGCCTCGCAAGCACAAGGTCCCAAGTTTGATCCCCAGTACCAAAACAAAACAAAAAACCATAGGACTCAGAATCCAGGTGTATGCTGGGTAGACTGGGCTCCCAGGAGGAGACCATGGCCTTCCAGGTCCACCTCCGCCCTTCAGTGTCACACAGTCATGGGACACAAGTCACACCCTCACTTGAGTTTTACAAGGAGATAAACTGCCACCTATGTAGGACTGCCAGACAAAACATAGAGCATCTATATCTTTATTTGCTGAATTGGACAATCCTGTATTCAAGCCCTCAAAATTTCAATCTCCTTTCATTTTCGTTTGTCTGAGACACGTGCTGTATAGACCAGGCTGGCTTTGAACAAATGGCAATTCTGTTTCAGCCTTCCAACCCAAAAGCTGGGATTACACTAGACTTCTAATATAATAAAACTTTTTGTGGTTTCTTAATCCTCTCAAAAAAAATCTCACACCATTACTGGAGTTAGTCATCACAGAATCTTCACTGCCACCTTGTACCAGCTCCAACACTAGGAAAAGACACAAGAGTATTCAACTCGTCGGTATCTACTCATGTACTGTAACTCTCTGAGATAAACCACTGCAGTTTTAGAAAATTACATTATAACATGCCTGAAATCCTAGCACTTGGGAGGCTGAGCCAGGGGAATCCTGAGCTCAAAACTAACCTGAGCAACACAGTGGGACCCTGTCTCAAAAAACAAATAGACTGGGCCAGGGATTTAGCTCCATGGTTCTGGCACCTGCCTTGCAAGCGCAAGGTCCTGAATTCGATCCCCGGTACCAAAAAAACCACCCCCAAAACCCCAGAGAAACCAAACACACACCCAAACACACAAGCTAAGACATTGCATTATATTCCCAGCACCCAACATAGAACCTGGAAAATAGTGAGTGCCCCAAAATATTTGATCAGTGTTAGCTGGAAGTGTGAGGACCCTGGGTCCCGGGGTTCTCAGTGAACCTGAAAGGCTGCAGGGAGACCCCCAGCCCAGAGCCTGTGCAAGAAAGACCCCGACACGTTGAGCATGTGTGATACCTGCCCGGGTGGGTGACAGTGGATGACCACCAAGACGGAGGCACAGTCAGTGGCAGGGGCAAAGGAGTTTTCATGAAATTTAAGTGAAAGATGTCACTTTATTTGGGCCCCTGTGGTGTTATTTTGACTCTCCTTTATGTCACATCATGCCTCTGATGACAGCGAGTTGAATGCTCTTGTGTCTTTCCTAAAGGCCTTGACCACCCTTGGGGACAGATCGGGGGGGGGGCTCCACTGGGCAGAGTCCCTTGGTGGGAGTCCTGGCCCCCAGAGTCTTTTTTTTTGGTACTGGGGATCGAACTCAGGTCCTTGCACTTGCGCAGCAGGCTGCAAAACCACTGGGCTAAATCCCCGGCCCAAGAGTCTTTCTTATTCTAGGTTGAGGCATGTGACTGGGGGTCTCACAGCTGGAAAAGGAGCAAGTGCTGGTGAACCAACTGCTCATTTTAATTCTTCAGGCTTTTTCATTCAATAAGGGTTATAACTGCATCCTAGCACTCTGGGGAGGCTGAGGCAGGAGGATCAAAAGTTTGAGCCCAGCCTGGGCAACTTAGTCACTTAGTGAGAACTCATCTCAGAATTTAAAAAATAAAAATAAAAAAAGCTGGGAGTGTAGCTCAGTGTGAAGGGCCTGGGTTCAATCCCCAGCACCTCCCCCCCCCAAAATTTATAATCACAATATTTTCTAGTTTAAGTCCAAAAATCCAGTATAATTGGGACTCCAATCTGTAAGATTATCAGATTTGCCTAGATATTTGGCACAGTTCTCCTGATAATATTCAACTATTTTAATTTTTTGTTTTGTTTTGTTTTTTGAGACAAAGTCTTGCTATGTAGTTCAGGCTGGCCTTGAACTCGTGGTGACCCTCCTGCCTCAGCCTCACAAGTACTGGGATTACAGGCGTGCACCACCATGCCTGGCCAGCTATTTTAATTTCTGACTTCTAGGATACTGTGTTGGTTAGGTGCCTCTATCTCTTAGCCACCTTTACTTTTGCTTGTATTGTACCAGAAGCCTTCGTCAAGCACAGATGAGCAATCAAAGCTGAAACCTTGGTGCAAGGTGTGAAACACCATGAGGCCAGTTCTGAACTCTGCCTGGCTGTAGGGGAAAGTGAATCAATCAGTACCAGCTACTGTGGGAGTCGGAGGGGGGGCCACCAGGCTCATCAGTGCTGCCTCCGGCTGGGCAGGGCCGATCCTCTGGATGCACCTACTCATCTAAGCCCGCCGACTTCTTCCTGACAATCTGTTTCTGCAGCTAATGAAGGAGACACAAACATGGGACTCTCAGGCTTTTCCAGATTGCTTTCAACCTTCCAAATGCCAAACCATCAGAGTTTTTTAAAATAGTTTTTTATTTTCTACGTACCGCAGCAGCAAGACAAGCAGACCAGGAGATGACAATTTTAAGACGACTGTCCTGTGTGCCTTGCTGTTTTCTGTGGGTTTATTGGTGTATTATCTGACTACTCAGAGAGCAAGGAATTGCACTGGAGGGGAAATGGGCACAGCCCCATCCCGGGACTGTCACCCTGTGCCTACATGGGGTGTGCAAACTGGCAGGGTGGACTGTGACAATGCAGGATGGAACCTCTCATGGGAACAAACACAGGAGTGGGAAGGAGAGCACTGGATAAATTAGAATTCGTTTTGGTGGCAAGTGACCCAAACCTCAAAATAAGGGTGCTTATGCAAGATGGGAGCTTATTTCTCTCTCAAACACAAAGGCAGGAGGTAGGCAGTGCATGGCTTCATGGAGTCATTAGGAAACGAATTTACTCTCTGTTCAGTCCCACGTTCCCTAGGGCAGGGATGGCAAACCTTGTAGGGCTTTCAGTGATACAAACAGCCCACTGGGCCACAGGTGCCATAGGTTCACCACAACAAGCTGGTGAGAAGAATCAGTGATTGTATGCAAGTTGCAAATATCCCTGCTCCTACACCAATGGCCAAGATGCTGGGAAATAGAGACGTATCCAAAGAACTGAATGTGCAGCTAAAATGAGAAGAAAGAAAGCAATGAGAGAATGGGTGTGGGGTAGGTTATGAGCTGTCTTTGCAATTAACATTGAACTTGGCCACCAGACCTCAGGAAAGGCCTCCAGAAAGATGATGTCTGAGCAGAGAAGAAAAATGATTAGAGCTCACATAACCCAAGCACAGCCAGATAGAAGCAATAACTTCTAATGTTCTGTGCAGGCATGGTGGTGCATACCTCTAATCCAAGTTGCTTGGGAGGCTGAGGCAAGAGGATCATGAGTTTGAGGCCCGTCTGGCCAATGTAGCGAGGCTTCCCAGTTTTAAAAAGTGCTAGTGTTAAACAGGCAGCGGGGGACTATAGTTCACAATAATCTACTATGTATTTTATAAGGATAAGGAAAGCCAGGTGTGGTGTTGTATGATTGCAATTTCAGCACTCTGGGAGGCTGAGACAGGAGGAGCAAGTGACTTAGCAAGATCCTGTCTTAAAAAATAAAAGTTGGCTGGGGACATAGTTCAGCATGAAGCCCCTGGTTCAATGCCCAGTAACACACACACACACACACACACACACACACACACACACACACTCAGTAAATAAAGGAGAAGCTGAAAAACTCCAAATACAAAATAATGATACAGAGATGGAAATGTTCATTATCCTAATTTGAGAAGCACCTACTATATACATGTATTAGAATAGCACACGTAATGTGCTCGATTATTATGTGTTGATCAGAAGAATTTTTTAAGGTATAAGGAGATGGAAAATTAAATCTGATTTGAAAAATTAACATCTGATTTGATTATTGCGCCTTGTATAGATGTACTCCATTATTACATTATACCCCACAAATTTGTTCAGTTTAAATAATAATTAACAAAAGCCAGTTGCAGAGAACTCACGCAGATGGAGGAGATGTAGAGGAAGGGAAGGGTGTTTCCGGGGAGGGGACAGCGTGCAGGACCCCAGGGGGTAAGAAGCAGGCGTGGAGGCGGCAGAGGAAGATTTTGTTGGCTGGAGAACGGGGTGGAGGAGAACTCACCGCCCACACTGGGCTTGGGCTGGTGTCCTCCCGAGATGCCCAGTCTGGTCTTCTCCTTGCCGACTCTGTCTGCTGTATCTGATTCTCCAAGTCCACAGGGAGTGGCCGGCCGTTCCCTGCAGAGCAGGAAGGGGAAGACGCCGGCCAGCGGTCACTCCGATGGCAAAGGCTCCTGCTCTAGGCCCCAGGCCTTCCTCCTGCCTCTTCCTCTGTCTCCGGGAAGCCCTTCGACTCGTGCCAGTGCCCGAGCAGACAAGCCAGGACTCGGCCCAGCACCCTTTCCCTAGAAGGTTGGACCCTTCAGATCCAACCAGTCTCCGCTGGCCAAGCCGCTTACTCCTTCATCTCCCACATCTGCTCCTCTTCGCCGGGGCCCCTGCCCTGCCCTAGTCCGGCCACTTTGGCCCTGGAGTGACAGACACACTGCGGGGGGTCTAAGTCTGTCTTCTGCACCCACTCAGATCCTCTACCCCCATCACGTGGAGCCAGTGCGACCATCTCACTGCGCAAAACCCAGCATGGTTCCTGCCCCCACAAAAAAGCCCTGTGGCCACTGCCTCCCTGAGGTCTGCACAGCCTGGAGAAGTCCGGCCTACACCCTCCTACCTCGGGCCTCATTCTCCTCCACATCCCCTCCCCTGGCCGCCACTCTGACCCTGCCTCCGGTCAGGGCATCCGGGGCTTTTCCTGCCTGTTGCGATGCCCATCCCTTCTCTGCTATCTCCTCTGCCTCAGCTGCCTTCCTAAACAGCTCAGGCTTTCTTTGAATACACGCTTCGGTTTACAATTTTATATTCACAGCTTCTCTGATTAACATGTCCATTGCTTCCAGCCAAAACAAATACAAAGGTCAAAGGTTTCAGGTTAGTCCTGCAAACAGTTTCTCTTCGTATCTGTAGGGGGAGAATGACCTTCTCTAATACTTGGACATAAGAGGCATATTTTAAGTTAGAGACCTGAAGGATAATTATGGTTATAAGTATTTTATATTAACTTTGCTATTGCTTTATACTGATATGAAGTAATAAACCCAAATTTCTGCCCTGGGTATAATGAAGGGAAGATGGCTTAATACTGGGAGAACAGGATGGTTGCGTTACCTTAATAACCCTTCATAACTTTCTGGAGGCCTCCAGCAGGGATCCAAGGTCAGGGGTCTTGGGAAGGTGGCCTAGGAGTGGAGGGGAGCAGGATGGGAAGAGTCCATTTACATTCTTCTGGGTGCCTCATCCACACTCAGGACAGTCACCAGGACTGACCCATGAGTGGCTTCCAGCCCAAATGAGTCCTTCCAATGTGTTTTGTTTGCCCAAAAGGATGTTAGTGTGTGTGTGTGTGTGTGTGTGTGTGCGCGCGCGCGCGTGTGTGTGTTGCTAGAGATGGAACCCAGGGCCTCCGTCCGCTAGTCCACATTTACCTTCGCCCCTGTATTTTTGCTTGTACCTCCTAATTTCTCTACCACAAACAGTATTGCTAAGAACATCTGGAAAAACACCCTCTTCAGGGTCCCAAGAGAGCATTTCCCTGGAGAATATCCACAGGAGCAAGGTTGTTAGGCTATCGGGCATATTTGAGGTCACAGCTTGAATAGCCTTGGTATTCTTCAGCATCATAATTTGCCAGAATCTTGTGTAAAAGCTCTATCTCATTTCTTATTTGGTATTTTTAGACATCCTAGTATTTTGTTTTGTATTTTTAAATTGCTAATGAGATTGAGAATGTCACCACTGACTTCCTAGCCATTAAGGTTTTCTTTTCTGAAAATGATCTGATGACCTCTATCCATCCTTCTATTGGGTTTGTTCTTTTTGTTTGCTGCTGCTGCTGACATTATGTATATTCTGGACACTAATATGTCATTGATTGTGGATGTCACAAATATCTTCTACTCTATTGCTTGTCTGTTAACTTTGTCGTGTCATCTGTGGAATAAATAACCTTTATTTATTTAAAAATTTTTTTTTCAATACTGGGGATCAGACTCAGGAACTTGCACTTGCAAGGCAGGCAGGGTGCCACTGAGTTACATCCCTGACCCTGTTTTTTGGAGTCAAATTCAACATTTTCCCCTTTATTGTTTATTTGTTTAGGGATCATGTTTAGAAAAATCTTCTGCAACTGGGGTCTCCAAACTACTCTAATATTTTCTTCTAATAGTTTCTATATTACTTTTCAGATTTAGGTCTTAAGGTCTTTAATGCATTCAGAGTTTTTTTTTTTATGTTGTGAAGTGGGGATTTAATTTCATTTTCTCTATAAAGAGAGCCAAACTTCCCCAACATCATCTGCTAAAATGATCTATTTTTAATAGGATTTGTGGGGTCATCTATTTCACTATATTTCTTCATATCATGAGTGTGTCACTGGGTTCCTTATTTTGCTCTATTTGTTTATGCTTGTGTGTTTCTGCATTGATACACTACACTGATTAACTTACTTCTAAATTATGTTAATATCTGGTAGGGTAGACCTCTCCTTAGCTTTTCTTTTTAAAAATTATCTTAGCTATTCAAAGATTTTAGTCTTCCAATCACATTTTAGAATCAATCTGTACAAAAATCCTGCTGGAATTTTGTAATTTCTTTGATATATCAGATCTTTACAAAATTAGTTGTCCAAATCCCTCCACACACAATGCTGTTTCTATTAGTTCAGCTCTTCTAAAAATATGTTTTCATATGGGCCAGGGATTTAGCTGAGTGGTGCTGCCATCTGCCTCAAAAGTGGAAGGACCTGAGTTTGATCCCTGGTACCAAAAAAAAAAAAATTATATATATATGTGTGTGTGTGTGTGTGTGTGTGTGTGTGTGTGTGTTTTAATAGTACTTCTAAATTGTCTTCATCAGAGTCTTATACATTCTTTGGTTAAAATGTGTGTGTGAGTGCATGTGTATATGTGTAAAATTTGAGAGATTATGGCTGTTGTTACTACCATGAACTGATCTTAATTTTCTATTCTGTTTGCTACTTGGTTATTGCTGATGCAGAGGATCAGCACTGGTTTACGATGGTTCCAGCTCACTTAGTTTATGGGCCTGTCCTCTCTCTGTTCCATCTCTTGGTATTTATCTCATGTTCCATATGAGGGCTCTGATCGTCCAAGAGTGTGGACGGTGCCCAAGCAGCTGTCCGCTGTGGAGAGAGAAGCTTCACCAAGCCCAACCCTGCTGGTACCTTGATCCTGGGCTTCCAACCTCCAGAGATGCAATTTCTACTGTATGATCCACATGATGGTGTTTTCCTTTCTGTGAAAACCAGTACAACCCCTCTCTGCCCTGCCTATTCTGGGTTATTTTATAGAAAGGTGTCTCGGGTCAGAAAGTTTTGCCCAGGTCTTTAAGTTCAGATAATGGAGATCTGATTATAGCTGTGGAGAGGTTTTACAAAAGAAAGAGAGGGCTGGGGATTTAGCTCAGTGGTTCCGGCACCTGCCTGCCTCCAAAGTGCAAGGACCCGAGTTCAATCCCATACCAAAAAAAAAAGAAAGAGAATTAGTATTTATGGCACACAGGGAGGTAACTGATTTTTTTTAAATGCTAAAATATTTTAACTACTTTATCTTTTTTTTAAGTACTTGGGCTTGCACCCGGCCCCCCAACCCCACCTCATGCTAAATGCTCCACCACTGAGCTACACGCCCAGCCCTCTTTACAGTATTTTGAGACAGTGTCTCCCCAGGTTGCCTTGGCTGCTCTTGAACATGTGATCCTCCTGCCTCAGCACCAGTAGCTGGGCTTACAGATGGGCACCACCATCTCCAGCTTCCTCCAAATCTTAATAAAAAAATTTTTTTTGGTTTCTTTAAGATTCCCTGTCAGAGAATGGATGGGGATTGCACTGTTTCTAAAGGTAAACCTCAACAAAGAGACAAAGAAAGCTGTAGGGAACAGGGAAAAGGGACGTTACCAGAACCTCTGCAGTAAGTCCTAGTCTCCTGTGAGCCACGGCAGCACAAGGCAAATTACAGGAAAGGTAGAAAAATGAGACTGAGAAGAAGCTGAGCTGCTTGTCTGATCAGTGCTGCTCTGGGCAGCAAAGACGAAAGCCTGCAGGTTACCACACCAGTACATTGGGAGAAACAAATGTAACAAATGACTTGCAGATAGTTCAGTACATCGCTGGAAACAAGATATAACAATCCAAGAACAATGAGGAACTGAGTAGATGAAGATTTTGTTCCTCCCAGGATGTCTTCAGCTGGTGTAATCTTGTCCTGGAGAATCACTGGATCATTGAGGTCTCAGTTGTGACTGGAGGCCAAAATGGAATTATGTCTCAAAACGCCATAGCTGGCCTGTAGGCAGGAGAACTAGGCCTAATCAAATGTTTTTTCCCTAAAATTATGAAGCATTGCTCAAGACCGAAACCCACTGACTCCCAGGGTGAGAGGGGAGAGGCGTCCTGTTTCCTGAACAGGAAAGAGAGGATCTATCTCCTCCCTCCAGCAAGGTGAGGTCTGCAGCCCGCAGTTACTCCACTTGACAATGCCACCGGGAAGATTTCTCAGGTGGAAAGTGCTAGTCATGGTGGTGTGGAATCCTGTCTCAGAACCATGCAAATGCTTCTGCATCACTCCCAGAATGCAACCCATGGCCACAGCCACGGCTCTGACCACCAGCCTGAAGTCACCTGCTACCTGCCTCCTTCTCCCTCTGCTCCAGCCACCTGGGTTGTTTCCTGTTCTTTGAACACAGGGAGGTGACACTTGGTCCAGGGCCTTTGCACATTCTTTTCTCTCTGCCAAGACTGCCCATCCTGCAGACCAAAAGTCTCCCTTTGGTCGTTCAAGGCTCTGTTAAAATGTCACTTCCACAGAGATCACTTGACCGAAACCGGCTTCCCTTTTCTGCCTACCCGACTCTTGTTAGCATTTGAGTTACAAATTCATTTGATTATTTGCTTATTTCCTGTGTCCTCTCCTAGGATATAAGGTCTACAAGGGCAAGCACCTGCTCGAGAGCAGCCCCAGCATATAGCAGGAGTGCAGCAGACACATGTTGAATGAGTGAATCGGCCTGCTGAGGACAGACGGGACTTTCCTCCAAGAACTACAGCTTCCTCCGCCTGTCTTGCCTGCTCCTGAAAGGCTTCAGAATAGTGGCCAGGCACACAAGTGGAGAACAACCCCTCCCACCACCTTGGGACCAGCCCCCTTTTAGCTCACTGCCTCCTTCCCCTCCCTCCTCCACTTTTGCCCCACAGCCAGTCTGGACTCTTCTGGGCACCTCTGGGCATCATCCGGCCTTGTGCATATTCAGCCACTCATATCGTATCTGCCTTGGGGCATCTCCTAGGAGAGCCATCAAGTTTTCCAGCTTGCTGCAGCTAGAAATACTACTGGTGACAAATATTACACCTTTTTTCTCCTCACAGCTTGACTCTGAAGGAGGTGAATGTGTCCAGGGAGCCCTGGAAAAGTGAGCAGAACTGGAGATCCATAGCACAGAACTGGTGGGCCTAAGAGGCAGGCAAGACCTACAGCGTTCTCTCTCCAGATCATCGTCAATGGAAAATCCCGTGAGTGTCCCTTCCCAAGTCAAGAAAGGGCCCACATCTACCTCCCTCGCTGGCCTCCCACATTCCTCGCTCTAGGGTAGGAAGCACTGACTCAGAGCTGGCTGCTGTGCTAGTGACTGCTTTCCCTAACTCATCCCCTCTAGCTGCACCCTGATGTGTGAGATATGTATTGTCAGCACCCACTTTCCAGATGAGGAGATGCAGCCTGTGGAGTAGGAAGGAATTTACTCCAATTCACTCTGCAAGCAGTGGAGTCAAGAGTATAATCTAGGGAGTCATCTCTGTTATTTGGGCTATCCATTTCAGTCACTTACCTACACTAACTTAAAAACAGCCTTTATAGCATAAAAGTCACCCATCGTAAGTGTACAATGTAATGATTTTAGTAAACTTACAGTGTTGGGCAACTCTCACCACAATCCAGTTTTAGAACATTTCCACTACCTCAAACTGCTTCCTCATATCATTTTTGGTTAGTTCCCACTCCTTCCCTTAGCCCTAGGCAACCGCTGATCTATTTTCTGTCTCTATAAATTTGCTGCTCTACACACTTGATATAAATGAAATCATTATGGAATCATCCTGCATTATCTTTTTTTTTTTTTTTACTACAAATTGCCCTTGTTTTGGGGAGACAGTTTAGTTCAGTTCCAACATTCAGTGCAGAGGTGTGCACTGGAGTGAGAACACTAGGAAGGCTCTACACCTCCACTCTGCAGAAGGCCATGGAAGGCTCTGCTTGTTTGCTAACTACTTCGTGCTTGTGAGGATGTAGACCGAAGCATGGTCTGGCTCTAAGTGGAGAATCAGGATGAGGGTAGGGTGGGTGCTATTGTTTAGCTCTAAAATGTCCCCCCAAAGTCTGATGATTGTAGTTGGGGCCTAGTTGGAACAGTGGGTCACTCGGGTTGTGACATAGAAGGACATAGTCTCCTCCCTCATCTCTCTGTTTCCTCTCTGCCATGGTGAATAGCCTTCCTCCAGAAGAGGCTCTTCCATCATGTCATTTCTGCCTTGGACCCACCTGATCATGGACTGAACCCACTGGAACTGTGAGCCAAAATAAACTCCTCCTCCTTTAAGTTGAGGGTGTTGGGCATTTCGTCTCAGCAATGAGACAGAAAATTGGTACCAAGAGTGAGGTCACTGCTGTGACTTACATGACTATGTTTTTCTGAAGTCTTTGAATCTGGTTTGCAAGAGGAGTTTGGACAGGTTTGGAGAAGCCCTAGAATGTTGTGAATAGTGCCTGATGTGTGATACTGGTCAGAGCTCAGAAGATTAGAATGCTGACAGGAATGTGGACATGCAAGGCCAGGCTCAAGTGGTTTCACTTGGGAACAAGGATTACATTGGCAGTTGGACTCAAGGCCATGTATTTTATCTTCTGGCAGAAAATTTGCCTACATTTTGCCCATGTCCTCAGACCTTGTGGGAGACTGAGATTAAGGATGTCAGATTAATTAATCTGGTAAAAGAAATTTCAAGACAGCCCAACATTCAGGCTGTGACATGAGAACTGTTGGCTGCTTTAGCCAGATGAATAGTAAAAATCAGCAAATGGCAGAGTTGAATGATTTGAAAAGCTTGTGGTTTCACCAGAAAGGAAGCTCTTGCAAAGATGGGGCCATGGAAAGCATGTTGCTCAAAAGATTAGTATTAAAAAGAAGCCAAGTACTTTGGATAAGGAAAATATGAAAGATGGCTTGAAAGGCATCTCAGGAATCAGCAAGACATCACCCATCACAGGCTTGGAGGTACAAAAGTAGAAGGGCTGCTGAGAGAACTAGTTCCTTGGGATTTATTTCATCATGTTCAGCCATCCAGGCACTCAGAAACCTCTGCAGCCATCGTTCAAGGAGACTGAGCTACTACTCAAGCTGGCAGTCAACCATGGTGTACTACTGGTTTTTCAGGGATGCAGAATGCAAGAGTTATAGGTTCATGGAGGCTTCCACTCGGACTTCAGAAGAAGACCTGGGAAGCCATGTAAAAACAAGTGACAGGGTCACAGTCCCCACCAGGCCCATTAGAGGACAGTGCATAAAGCTGTGAGAGTGAAGCCAAATGTGCAGTGGAGACCCCAGAAAGTCAGAGATGCCAAGAATGGAATATCTGCTGAGGAAGCCACAGGCAAAGAGTGAAGACATCCTCAGAGAGACTCCATGTGGGGGTGTAACCTGCAATGCCAGAAGGGCAGGGCTCCCCCAGCCCTTTGGAACTCACATTTCACCATGACCTTCCCTTTGTGCCAGACATGATACCATAAGATTTGCTCTGCTGGATTTTGGTCTTGCTTTGGTTCAGTTTCTTTCCATTCTCTTATTCTTCCCTTTTGAAATGGGAATATTTACCTTATGACATTGTATGTTGGAAATGTTTAACTTTCTTTTTGATTTTTACAGAGGCTAAGAGTTTGCCTTGAGTCTCAGAGGAAACTTTGGACTTGGACTTTCAACAATGCTGGAACTGTTAAGACTTTGGCTTTTGACTCTTAGAGATGAATTAAATGCATTTTGCTTATTGAGATTTTAGATAGACATGAACCTTTTGGAGGCCAGGGATAGAATTAAGGTTTAGATCCAAAATATCCCTCATAAGTCTCATATTTAGACCTGGTTGGAAGGGGCAGGCCATGGGGAGTGACTTGATAGGGTATATTTTTGTCCCAGGGTCCTCCTTTCTTTCTCTGCTTCCTGGATACCACAATGTGAGCAGCTTTTCTCTGCCTTGCCCCTCTATCTTGTGGTTTCTGTGTTAGAACTGGCTGACCAGGGACTGATCCCACTGAAATTGTGAGCCAAAATAAACCTCTTCTCCTTTAAGTTAGGAAGGTTGGATTATTTTGTCCCAGCAATGAGAAAGTGGCTAATACAGTGGGGGAAACACACATGTTGATTTTTATTATTTTCCTTCTTAACTCACATGAAGCCATGTTTGCTGGCATACACCTGTAAATCCAGCTACTCAGGACACTGAGGCAGGAGGATTCCAGTTTGAGGCCAGCCTGGGCAACCTAGTGAGACCCTGTTTCAAGCCTCAGTACCACCACCAAAACAAAACAAAACTAAACAAAACCATATGAATTAGTCTATCTTTATTCATAGATTTCTACCCCAAATTGTGTTAGGAGCACCTCCATTTAAAACAGAATACAAATAATAAAATGAAGGCCTAAAATTTTAATTTAAAATGTAATCTAAAAGTCCAACGTGAAATGAGTCAGCCCACCCTTACCCAGTCAGGAAGCTCCTCCCTGAAACAGAAAATGAGGAAGACAATAACGACAGGTCAACTCCCTTTCATTCCCTCCTCAAGAGCCACCAGTTTACGGCCATGCAAGGTTTGGGTCCAGAGCAGTGACAGTCTGGGAACCCTACTGTGCTGCATCTGGACTCTCTGTGACTCCTGAGGGCTCCTTTCCCTGAGGCAAAGTCAGAAGTGACCTCCCCAAGCTGGAAGGACAAATGAGGGTGTTGACCTTTCCTCCCTCCCAGATGATCACCCCTGTTCCTCTGAATGAAATTCTCATGCTACCCAGAGAACCAAAATCCCTGTTTCATGACCACAGGTCTCATCCCAGCTCTTCACACACATTTCTCTTCCTGCCAGGGATGAATTCTTTTCCAAGTCGGAAAGGTCATGCACAGGGTTATTTTTTATTTATTTATTTTTTTTGGTACCAGGGATCAAACTCGGGATCTTGTGCTTTCGAGCCAGGCAGCGGAACCACTGAGCTGATTGCTATACAGGGTTATTAATGAGGCCCTGGGAAGCAGTGTTTCCCACCCCACAAGTCACTTCAGTGAACTGTGTTTTCTACATCCAAGTAGACCTCTTTAAATTTCATTCTCAAGTATCTCTAAGTGGTGGGAGGGTTGGGGGAGACTGACTGGGTGACTAATACCATCAGAATCAACAGTGATAGCACTTACTATGTCTGGGGGAAAAGGATTATGTGCTATGTTCTGTATGTTGTGCCTGTTTTGTTTTTTTTTAAATTTAATGCTCAGAATAATTCTAGGAGGTCAGTGACATTATTAGCTTCATTTTTCAAGGAATTATTAAGGCTCTCAGTAAAGAAATTTTAGCACAGAGTTTCTGGTTTTATTTTTGTTCTTTTTGAAATAAAGTCTCATGATGTAGCCTAGACTGACCTCAAACTCACGTTTCTCCTGCCTCAGCCTCTTAAGTACTGGGATTACAGATGTGTACCACTGCTTAGAACACAAATTATACACAATTACTATCATTAATTATTAGCAGTACAGACTTTTTATTATATCTATTAGTATAGAAATTACTGGGACAGAAAATAGCATAAGGGGTGAAGATGTAGCTCAGTAGTGGAGCCCTTGCCTAGCAGGTGGAAAGTGTTGGGTTCAATCCCCAGCACCACACACACACACACACACACACACACACACACACACACATACACCATTACTACAGTACAGAAGTTATTAATACAAAGATGATACTATTATAGTACAGTAACTAGTACAGAAAATAGCACTATTATTATTGGTTCTATTTTTCAGAAAAAAAGACTCAGAAAGGCCACCATAACCTATGGAAAGTTCCAGAGTTAGCCAGCGGAGCAGCTGCATCCCCAACACGACTCGAGTTTAAATTTTGATACTCAATCCCAGTTTTGATACTCAATCCCCAGCTTCCTGGGGTTTGGAAGAGGGTCTGAGCCCTGGGGCTGTGACTGAAGGAGACAGAAGCCCAAAGCCTTCCTGGAGACCACGAGGGAACAGGGAAAAGGGTATCTAATTAACTTGGGAAATAGTCCCACATCCTGTGTTCCCAAGAAAGAAACCATTTGAAAAATTAGGAACGAGCTGGAACAATGTTGCGTTTAAACTGAGCGCAAGCAGCAGTATTTCTGCACCACAGCCTTGACACGGGAACGAGGCTATTTACTCTTTTGGTTTTTGACCGCTGCGCCAAATCCTATTAGCTTTACGGTTACTGTCCTGAGGTGGGGAGGGGGCGGAAAGAGCGGGAAGCACAGGCTGGGTGCACTTGGACCGCAGCCCCTGGGGCAGGGGAGGCGCCAGAGGGAAAATCTGTTCCCTGCGAGATCGTGGGGAGCCCAGAGGTGGACTTGAAGATGTGAGTGTGAAAGGAGAGACAGGATGGAGGTCGAAGTGCCATGTGGCATCTTCGCTGGGTGTCCCTGCAGCTCCCACCAAGAGGGGCAAGTCCTTCACCTGGAAGGAGGGACGGGGAGGGAACACCCAGGGAATTAACACAGCCGACCACAGAGCGCATCCAGGCCTCCTCGGGAACAGAGGAGAGGAGGTGTAGGAAACATTGCGGGCCCTCCCCTCGCCGGAGTGTACCCACCAAGGAGAGGAGCCCTGCATCAGCAGGCCTTGCTGGAGGGGGTAGAAAGAGGAGACTGCTCCGGGAGGAGGAAGGGAGAGAGGAGGGGCTTCACCTCAGAGCGCACACATGTTTCTGGTGGGGAAGAAGCCGGAGTTGGGTGGAAACAGACTCCCTGGAGGACCCTGGGCCTGTGAAGCAGCGGGGGGTTATTTGCGAAGGGCAAGATGTTTCTTCAGACAATTCATGTTCTGCAAGGCTCGTTTCAGACCAAAGGCAGCTCCGGGGAAGGGGACCTTTGTCCCGGGGCCTCAGGGCTCCCCGGACTTTCCCCTGTCAGCTGAATTAAAACTGGCCTTGAATGGGGAGAGAAAAGTCCTCCCTGAGCCCTTTGCAGGGAGGAAAATCAAAAATTGAAAAGTGGAAGCCAGGCGTCGGTGGCAAAAGCCTGTAATCCCAGCACTCTGGGAGGCCTGAGGCTGGAGGATTGCAAATTCCCGCCTGCCTGGAGAGTTCAGTGATTTAGCAAGAACCTGTTTCAAAATTAAAAATGAAAAAGGGCCGGAGATGTAGTTCAGGGACAGAGTGCCTCTGAGTTCAACTCCCAGTACCGCGCATGCACACGCGCGCGCACACGGTCTGGGGTGTAGCTCAGTGGTGGAATGTTTGCCTAGCATGTGCAAGGTCCTGGGTTCAATTCCCAGTACTGCAAGGTAAAGAAAATAAGATACATAAAAAAGTAAGAAGAATCATCTTACCCCACTTACCCTGCGTTGTAAATATATTGCCTAGGCTGAGGCATGGCGAGGCCAGATGTAAATCAGAAGAGAGAAAGCAGAGTGTCTCAGTTTCATCTCAGTCACAGGTCCCTTGAGAGCCACAGGGTGACATGCAAGGCCGTTCAGGTGAAGCGCTGGGGCCGCCCCTGGCAGGGGAGAGGGGGACTTCAGGCAGGGTAAAGGCTTGGGGATAATTTGAATAATCTCCCTGGCTCTGGGACAGAGGGGCTGTCCCTAGTTATCTAGTCCCTTGTAATCTTTTTTAGGGGCACTGGGGCTCGAACTCGGGTCCTTGCACTTGGGAGGCAGGCGGTGGAACCACTGAGCTAAATCCCCGGCCCCATCTAGTCCCTTGTTCCCTGGGTTGTTAGGGTGACTGGTAGTGTAAGAGCCCAGTAAAGGAGGTGGTGGAGTTGGGATTCCATTGGCCGATCAAGAAAGAAACAGGCTACCTCTAGCCGGAGCTTCAAAAGGGAGGCTGAGGCAGGAGGATAGCAACTTTGAGCTCATCCTGGGCAATTTGGGGAGTTAGCAAGACTCTGTCTCAAAAATAAATTGGGCTGGGATGTAGCTCAGTGCAAAAGCCCTTGATTCAATCCCCAGTACCACAAAAAGGAACAAAACTTGTATTACACTCCTGAACATGGGAATTAAGAGCTCATCCCCTTATTTTAGGTGACACAAACCTGACAAAAGTGTAGAAATGTCCCCACGTAAACCTGAATTTGCAGAGTTCTAAGCCATTATGACCTGTGGCTCCTTATCCGGCACAGAGGAGTTCAGATTAAGCCATGGACAGCTGGCTGCCCTATTTCCTCAGGAAACCTCTCCGTAAGTGCCTGGTGGCTGAGCTGCCCTTGAAGGAGGGAGGATTTCCCTTCTGAACCTCTCTTCTATACCTCTTGCTATGAAGAACATTCCGTGCCAAAGATGTGTTTTTAAGTAGCAATGGTTTCATTAAGGGACATTCAGCATGTTATGGGATTCCTGGGAAGGCCAAAGACCAGGCTGAGACCACTCAGCCAGGAACAATGGTACTGTTCTTTAAAAGATTTTAAAAAGGTATTTATTTATTTCAGAATGTTTCAAACTACAGAAAAATGGAAAGAGCACTACACTGAGCAGCTGTGTATCCACATACCCCAGCCTTGGTTTGGGTTTTCCCAAAGGGAGATCCTGAGAGAAGAGCTGGGATGCAGGTAGATTATTTGTGAGGTGACCTCAGAAAGCACAAGTGAGACAGGAGAGGAGAAGAGCACCATAAGGTGCTGGGCTTGGGCAGAGGCATTGTGAGTTCAAGACCATGATGGACGTGGGTCATCATTCAGCCCTGCTGGGGACCTTTCTGAAGCCATGTACAACAAGCTTCATGGTTGTCACTCAAGGAAGAGGAGCCTGGGGTTTCCCCCACCCTCTCTTGTCCCATGGGTGGAGGGTGGACTTGGAGGAGCGGACAGCTGCAGGCTCCAGGCTCTGGGTAAGCACTAAGTCTGCAGACTTCACTGCACTGGAGAAAGTGCTCTGGTGGAGAAACGGCGAGGGGCCTTGTTCCGGGTGAAGTCTGCTCCACATGGCAGAAACCGAATCCTACCAGCTGGGCAACACAGACTTGGGCCGAGAGGCTTTGGGTGTGATAGGTCATCGCCTCCTAACATCTTGCCAGCCTTCCCCGTCTCTCTCTTCATGGCCCCCATAGCCCACAGACAGGGTTTATTCCATGCTAGGTGTTGTGTAGCTGTTAAGTCCCTGAGATGGCGTGATGACCCTGGGACACAGGTATCCGACAGCTGTGGCACTGAGGGGACATGTAGGACTTTAGCACCGGAACGGTACTATTTTAAGATATTGTTATGCCACACAATTATTGGACCTTACAGCAAAACGTTTGAGATGCCAAGTAAAAAATATACACAAGCGTTCATGGTTTTTCAAAACTCTTTCTGCAAGTAATCAGCCCAAGAGTTTGTAAACCAGCATCCTGGACTTCTGCATGTCTTCACCTCCAGGAATCACTACAGAGGTCATGGGGCTGTGGGAGGTGTGGTGAAACAGCTAAGGCACTTCCCTGGTTACCCCAAAGGGGTCCTGGGAGATACATTTTAGAAAGGAAAATCAAAAGGAGCGCGCTATTGGGCCGGAGATTCAGCTCAGTGGTTTCACTGCCTGCTGCGCAAGCTCAAGGACCCAAGTTTGATCCCCAGTACCAAAAAAAAAACAACAAAAAGGAGCGCGCTATAGATAGAAAGTGAATCCAGCCCGCTCAGGATCCAGATGGAGACGGCTGAATACAGGGTGCTGATTCAGTCCCACCAGTGCCTGCGGCGCTGAGTCAGTGGCTCAAATCCTCCCACCTCTCAGCCCACCTCCGTTTGCTGGATTCTCTCAATATTTCCTCCTCAAACACTAAGTGTCAAACTTACTCTATGATCACTACAGCTTTTTTCCTTTCCATTTTGTTTTTTAAGGATTCATTGTATTTTTCCACACAGGCATTCAGCAGGCTGATAGGTTTTTTCCCCCCATAACCACAAGGGACAGCCAGAGCTGTGAGTTAGTTCTAAGGCACGCCAGGTAGTTCTAAGCAGACAGGGGCAATGGGCAGTAAACCAACCTTGAATAGAAAAGAGAACTCTTAGCAGGGAGAGTAGCTCAGTGGCAGATGACTTACCTAACATGCTTACATAACTTACCTAACAGCCCCTAGGGGAAATAAATCTGAGCCTGATGGCTTCTACCTGTGATGCCAGGAGTCTGGGAGGCCGAGGCAGAAGGATCACAAGTTTGGTACCAGCCTAGGAAACTGAGAGACTTAGCAAGACCCTTTCTTTTTTTTTCTTTTCTTTTTTTTTTTGGTACCGGGGATCGAACTCGGGACCTTGCACTTGTGAGGCAGGTGCCGGAACCACTGAGCTAAATCTCTGGCCCAGCAAGACTTTCTTTCTTTTTTTTTTTTTTTCGGTACCAGGGATCGAACTCGGATCCTTGCGCTTGCACAGCAGGCGGCGAAAGCACTGAGCTACATCCCTGGCCCAAGACTCTTTCTTAAAAAATAAAAAAAGGCTGGGGATGTAGTTCAGTGTGAAGGCCCTGGGTTCAATTCTCAGTACAAAAAGAAGAGGAAGAAGAGGTAGGAGGAGAGGAAGGAGAAGAATGAGAGAAAGAAAGAAAGGAAGGAGGAGGAAGGAAGGAAGGGAAGAAGGGAAGAAAGAAAGGAAGAAGGAAGGAAGGAAGGAAGGATCCTTGGACGTAAATTCAAACTCAACTCATCAGCTGCAACTCTGCCTTTCCTCTTTTAGAAAACCTTGCATGTGCGAGGGCAGGCGTGCACCACTGAGCTAAATCCCTGTCCCTCTACCGTCCCTTTTGAATCTTTTCTCCAAGAGAGGGAAAGCAAGCTTGGAAAGGTTGTTAGAATTTGGTGTAGTCAATAGTTTAGCCCAGGTTGCAAATATGCTTCTCAAGGTGAATACACTGTGTAGTTCCGTTCCGTTCAGCTATTTTTTCTTTCCAGTTGTTCATATTAACAACAAGCATAGTGGGAAAAAACTTAATGAACAACTATTCATGCTTTGATTCCTTTTTCACACCCGGTGACATGAGGGGAGGAGCTTGAGCTTTGGAGCCGGTGACCATGAGTTCAAACTGGACGCACTCACTGGTTGTGAAGCGTGGGTAAGTTGTATACACTCGCTGAATCTCATCTTCCCTTTCTGCAGAATGGAGGAGTGGAGGAGGTGGTTCCCCCTCGCAGGTCTGCTAGGAGGAGTTGCCAAGACTATGTGTGCAAAGGCCCACCTCACTGTTCTACAACTCATGACGGCCAGTATCACCAATTTATCATTGTCCTTCAGAACTGAAACACGATTTTTGAACTGACTGACTCTACAAGGAACAAAAATCGTAAGCAGATGACAAAGAAAACTTAGTTGCAAAATCAAAAATTGATATTCTGGTTTTAAATCACTACTTGTTGGTTTGGTTACTGAAACATTTCATCAGTTTGATGACCTATAAGCCTAGGGCAATGCCCTCGACCTAGCAGGCTTGCCATAGCAAGGTCACAACAACAATAACAAGGAATAGTTTGAATAACCTTTTAATATATGAAACATTTACAAACACCATCTCATTGAATGCCCATAAAAGCCTAAGATTTGACCAAAACAAATACTATGCTTCTCATTTAGGGTCATGGAAAGTAAGATATTAACTAACTCACTTTTGGAACTCTGGTCTCTGTTTCCTCCTCACCGTGGTCCTCTGATCCCCCTTCTCTGTATTAATTTGCTCATCAGGGCCTATTTTAACCTTTCCTCTCCTCTTTTCATAAAAAAAAAAGAACACATTAAAAAAAAACACACACACAAGGCCGGGGATTTAGCTCAGTGGTTTCGCCACCTGCTGCGCAAGCACAAGGACCCGAGTTCGATCCCCATACCCAAAAAAAACCCACGACATTCTTTTCTGACCTTCTATAGCACATGTGTGAACTGTGTAATTTAGTAATTTATTATTCTCTTTCTTTTCTACCCAGTGATTTCTTGTTTTTTGTGTGTCTGTTTTAAATTTTTATTTATTATTTTTTAAGCTCTGCCCCAGCAGACAAGAACTCTCTCAAGGGCAGGGGCCATGAAAGTGAAATTATTTTGGGTCTCACTCTTCAGGCCCCTTCCCCTTCATAATGCCCAGCCCAGCGGTGGACCCAGAGGAAGAGCCTCATGGATCTGTGATTGATTCGCAGAGAGTTTACTTGAAATGTTGGCCTAGAAAACCTACTGCAGGATAAAAACCGAGACTCAGTCCTTAGGGGCTGCTATCTAAGAGGCAGGGCAAAATGTTCTTGCTGGGAAATCGAAATGCAGAAAGCAAACATAATCAGGAAACACATTATGTGGAGCTTTTCTGCTGATTCTGGTGATCCCCATTACACACTTGCAATTTTATACGACTAGGATGGGCCTTTAGTCACAGTGTCCCCAAGCCATGCCACAGTGACCATAGGTAGGTGGGGGATACCCTTGTGTGGGTTGGTAACACTCTGTTCTCCCTCCTGCAGACATAATTATCTTCATTGTCTAAAAACATTAAACAACTCTCAACTGAGGAAGCTAAATAGCAACTGATATTTTCAGCGGCTCTCTTAAATTAGGACAGCTGAGTTTGATGGAAAAATAAACACCTTTCATACTGAATATCAGTTGCATATTGTTTCACACTGAATATCTGCCCACAGAGAGTTTTCCCCGTTGTTTCATTTTTATCACATTTCTTCCCAGTGTTTTATATGACATGTATAATCAAATTGATGTTCCTTATAAATTCCAAACAACAGGGCATCACTGAGTTTCCTCTAAGGCCCAAAATTCAAAAATTTTTCCAGTGATTCCAATGACCTGATTCCTACCACCAGGACCACTATTTCTCATCCAGTGAGAAGCCAAGGTATTTTTTATTTTATTTTTTTGGTACCAGGGATCGAACTCGGGTCCTTGCGCTTGCGCAGCAGGCAGTGAAACCACTGAGCTAAAGCCCTGGCCCGCCAAGGTATTTTTTTTTTTTTTTTTAAATTGAGAGCTCACTTTGTTGTTCAGGCTGGTCTCAAATGCATGGGTTCAAATGATCCTTCTGCCTCAGCCTCCCAAGTAACTGGGACTATAGTTCCCCACCACCACATCCTGTCCCCGTCAGGGCCAAAGTTCTTGGCATCTGAAGCTCTGCCAAGTTCCAGTAAGGCCCTTTCTCCAGGTCGCCACTTCTCAGACTTCGCTGTGAATCAGCAGGGAATCTGGTGCAAATGCAGATTCTGATTTTGTAGACCTGGGCTGGGACCGAGGTTCTGCATTCCTAACGCAGAAGGGCAGATGTTCCTGGTCCACAGACCGCACTTCGGGTGGTGGAGTGGAGAGCATATTGCAGGTGCTCCTGTACTGGTAGGAGCCAGACTGCGGCTCCGTCCCTGGGAGTCTAGGCGGCTCTGCTGAAAACGCAGGACCGCCTGGGGAGGACCAGGGTTTGGGAGGACGAGGCCTGCTTCTGCAGGAGCGGAGCGCTGGCGGGGAGCTCTCCCTGGTGCTGCTGCAGGCTTTCCTCACAGACCTGTCCTGAGTTTCCGCTCTCTGGTCTGGAGCTTCCATCCAAATCCTTACTGCGACCGCGCCCTACTTTCATATTGCTGCCTGATGCTGCCTCGTATGTATGTATTTATGTATTTATTTATTTTTGCCTTATATTTATTGCTGGCCCAGAGTTCTTAGTCTCGTCTGGGATAAAGCATTGAGGTCATTAAACTCTTATCTTTGGGAACAGATTTTTCAAGTCACCTATGGTATCTATCTGTCTGTCCATCTATCTATCTATGTATTATCTATCTACCCACCTCTGCTTTAATCAGGAAGGGATGGGAAAAGAAAGTTCATTAAGACCATATCTCCATTAAAAAATAAGGTATAGTATGCACCTTCCAGGTGTTTGAGGCTTTTTTTTTTTTGGTGCCAGGAATTGAACTCGGGTCCTTGTGCTTGCAAGGCAGGCAGCGAAACCACTGAGCTAAATCCCTGGCCCTCTTTTTCTTTTTTATTGAAGTGAAATTCACACAACATAAAATCAATCATATCAAAGTGTTCAGTGGCATTTAATGTTCATGGCTCCATCTAGTTCAAAAACACTTAATGCATGCCTTTAAAAGCTGTGTGAAAGCAAAGTGGAAGATTAGTTGGGTGATTCAGAAGAAATTTCTGTCATTTATTGAAATCACTAGGCAAATTATCAACTCTTACAATTGAAAATTACTTAACAACATGAATCTTTTTTTACTGGGGATCAAACTTAGGACCTTGTACTTTCAAGGCAAGTGCTGGAACCACTGAGCTAAATCCCCAGCCCAGGCCCCGATTTTTTAACTTTTTAAATATATGCTCAAGTAGTAATGGTAATTGTCATTATTTATGGGACAGTTACTATATTCCAGCCATTTTATATGTATTTTCTTATTTGAACCTCAAAACACCCTAATAGGTATTATTATTGTTGTTGGCTTTTGAAAGAAAAGATTACTTAACCCCAGAGATTTTAATTAACTTTTCTAAAGACACACAGCTGCCGCTTGGCTGAACTGAGGTTTAATTCTAGTCAGTGTGACTTTAGGACTTGATCTCCTAGTCAAGTACAATAATGTCTCATGTGGACACAGACTTATTGTATGTGACAAGTATGAATTATGGCCAGAATGCTAAATTTCGAGCAAGCAAAAAATTGGATACATGCGAACTCAAGATTAAATATTTGGAAACAAGAATGAGAAGAAGCTAGTAGGCCTGGGAGTTTAGCTCAGAGTTGGGGTCCTGGCCTTGTATGTGTGAAACCCTGGGTTCCATCCCCAGTACCAAAAAACCCCCCAAAAAAGTACTATCAGAAGTCTCTATAGAACCATTGAAAATTAAAAAGTGGGTTTTTTTTGCTAAAGATTCTTAATATAATTTAAGGGCTTTGTATTTAATTTTCACCTGTCTGGATTTTGAAATCATGGTTTATAAGTATTACCTTCTCTTTCCTGCATCACTGATTTTTTTGTTGTTGCTGTTTGTTTTGGGGGGGGGGGTTGGTACTGGGGATTGAACTTGGGACCTCGAGCTTGCAAGGCAGGCGGCAGCACCACTGAGCTAAATCCGTGGCCCGCACTCCTGATTTCTTTTTTACTAAAACACTCTAATCAGAAAGGAAACATACTCAAGTTATCTTCTATTTTAAGAGAAAATAAAACAACCTCCCCTCTTGGTGCTTTTGAGACAGGGTCTCGCTGTGTACCCAAGGCTGGCCTTGAACTCAAGGAAATCCTCTTGCTTCAGGCTCCTGAGTGCTGGTATTACAGGTGTGCACCACCACGCCCTGCTCAAAACAGCCACATTGCCTCTCTCTGCCCATTTTTCTGCTCCTTTCACTCAGAACTTCTTGAAGGCATTGTCTGTGGAACCTGTGTTCACCGTCGTCTCCCATCCCTCCAGTGGTGATGGCGTCCCTGCTATTCCACCGCAACTGCCTTCCTTTCGGTCACCAGTGGCCTCTATGTTCACTCCCTCTGGGGCCTTAACCACGCAGCTACACTGCCACCCCCCAGTGCTGTTCATGATTCCTGACACCTGGCTCCATTTGCCTAGGGCTTGGTTTCAGGCCACACACATTTTCCCATGTGCACATCCCAGCCCATGGCTGTACCTACTTCACACCCACTAATTCCAAAGAAGGAAATCTTTTGCTCAAACTCTCGCCCACATGTCTAGCCCAGACCTTCAGCGGCCATCTTGATGTTTCTCCTTGGAGGCTTCATAACTGTCACGTACTCCTGTATCCAAAGCCAAGGTCTTGATTTTTGTCCCAACCTGCTCCTCCCACAGTTTTCCATTTCGTAAATGACATCACAATTTATCTAGGAGTTCCTGTAAAAATAAACAAAATCCATTTCCTCCATTCCTAACACAAGCTGGCTTAGCTCTACCTCTCCAGTGTCTATTCAGTCCACCTCTGTCGTTCTCATCTCCCCTGCAGCCTCCATTACACCTCCCCACTACTGCAGCCCCAAACTGGTTTTTCCGCTTTCCTGTATGCTCCCCGAAACTCTTTCTCAGAACAACCACCAGGGTAACTCAGATATTCCCGAGGGGATGAGACTATGTGGTGTGTCTGACCAAGGCGAAAGGAGCTATAGTTGTATCAGAAAGTTTACAGAAGAAGTCATAATGGGTGCACAAAGGCTTAAGCTCATAGCCAAGAAAAAAGGGGGGAAAGCAAATATTAATGCTCAGCATTAAAAATTATATCATCATACTCGATTCAGGTATGAAAAGTAGTAGTAAACACACTACTGGACTGGGGATTTAGCTCAGTGGTTCTGCTGCCTGCCTTGCAAGTGCAAGGTCCCGAGTTCAATCCCTAGTACCAAAAACAAAACAAAACAAAACACATTACTGATTACTGGTTTAATAAAAATTGCTTGTTGGGCCAGGGCTTTAGCTCAGTGGTTCCGCCGCCTGCCTCGAAAGCAGAAGGTCCCAAGTTCGATCCCTGGTACCAAAAAAAAAAATTGCTTGTCATTGTATTGCAAAAGGTAAGGGAGGAGAAGTGCGCCAGGCAAAGGGTAAATTGAAGCTTGCAAGACAGCAGACATTTATTTTCCATAGGAAGTCAACAGGGGACGTCCAATGGGGAAGACCAAGAAACATGTCTGATTTTCTAAACTACATGTATTTTTTGATGCACAATAAAGAACAAAATCCAGAATTATGAGAAATCACAGTGCATCTTTAAAGTACATCACCTATTATTTTGAAGGTTCGCTGGTTATTTAAGAGTCTTCTGACTGCCTTTCTTCCTAAGATGTAATTTCTGTATTTCTATTTTAGGCATATTCAAAATGTTTTGCTAATAAACCACAGTTCTTCTCTTTTACAGTGGTGTTATGAAACATTTTTAGCGGACTTAAGACACGAATTTAAAAACTAATTTTGTTCAAAAGAACATAAGCCCATTGACTACCTAGTAAATTGTTCCACATATATTTTAATAACCATGACAAAAAAGTCAGTATATGGTTTTTAATGTCAGTTTTAGCCTATTAAAAATGGAACAGTCAGCATGAAGTCTATTTTACTAATATAAAAATAATTTCTAGATACAAAGAGTATTCATTTAAAGTATGATTTCTCTTTCTGTGGAAGTTACATTTGAGAACAAGGAAAAAGAAAAATAATTTCATTTTAGTATTTCCTGAGAATTGTAAATAACAAAGAGCCAGACTATCTTTTCCCATAACTCAAACAATTAAAATAACTGCCTGTTGAAGATATGGTAGGTGGATTATAATACAACCCACTCCAAAATTCAGAGTTCAAGTTGTGGCTCCATCTCTTACCAATTGGATGGTTTCTCTTTCTAACTGGGTGATTTTTAAGTCATCTAATCTGTGCAGGACTCAATTTCCCCACCTGCTGAGCACCTAGGCAACGTAGGGTGCTACTCTGGGCAAGAGTGACACTGTTGTCATTCTGTAGTCCCTACCCTGTGGGGCTTACGTTCTAAGTGGGAAAATTATAAACAAGTGCATAAAGCAATTTTAGACAGCAGTGAGCATCACAAACACAGCACAACCCAAGAAGAGGTGCGACAGTGATCAGTGTAGAGCAGGTCTGAACAGGTGTTATCCAGCGGACGCCTGCTTAATTGAAAACCAACCACGTGGTGGTTTAGGGGGAGAGAATTTCAGGCCGAAAGGACAGCCGTGTAAAGAAGGGGGCTAGCTGATGCATTTAGAGCATGGTGTCTGTTAGGGTTTGAAGATGCAGGAGAGGATTTTGGTTTTATTTGAGATAAGAAGCCACAGAATGGTTTAAGCAGAGCTTTGGGATTTAAACTTACAAAGAATTACCAGTGATTTAGCATGTGTCGCTGAGACCTCTTCAAAAAAGAATGTTCTGACTTTTAAGTACTAGAACTACCAAATTCTGTCTCCATGTACAAGACAAAGTAGTTGAACCAGCGTTAATTAGACTTTTCACTCTTCTGAGCGCCTTTGGGAGAAAATAAGGCAAAGAAAGCTAAGCCACAGCTTCCAGAGTAAGAGAACTGGATAGAGGTCCTAGGCTTGAGGCTGAGACCAGGGCAGGCAGGGGGAGGAAAGGGTCTTGTGGGTCAGGTGGTGGCCTAGGGAGGCTACAGTCTTTTCTGTTCAGGTGATGATTAACATCTTCCTTTATCATTCATGAGAACAAGACAAGTACGGGAAAGCAGGAACCAAACAACGACCTGGGGCGTGGGGTGGTGCTGATGTACAGCTACTGCTGCTTACATCTGTCTTCACAGATTCCCTGGGAGGAGGAAGTGACTTCAGTTGCCAGTGGGAGCAGGGAGGATGGGCCATTGACACTGCTTCGACTTTTCTCATGGCACCAAGGACCCTACCCAGGCTCTGTCCGTTCTTAATGCAGCTGAGTCACGGAGAGGGGGCAGGAGGACTCACATAGACAAAGCGGAAGCCGGCCTGTGACAGTACCACTCACTGTGTGTGGAGGAGAGAATGTGGAGTTCTATTAGGTGTGGCCAGCAGGAGCCCAGGGTATTAAGGGTCACACACTGTTGAGCAGGACGTTGGTCACGGCGTGCCAGGGGAAGGGATGGTTCTGGGCATGGCTAGAGCCAAAAGGAGACTCAGTTTTTCCGAGACGAGTAGCATCAGTAATGATGTGAGGAGCGACCCAAGCAGACCCATGACCACATTCTGTCTCCACACGTAAGACCTAATAGTTGAGCCGACGTTAATTACATCTTCAGTCTTCTGACTAGGTCTTGCGAGAAAATAATAATAAAATTTTGAAGTTTGAAATAATAAACTACAGGTGTGCAACTCCTCTTTTTAAGAACAATTGCATTGTGGGTATGGCGGTGCACACCTGTGATCCTGGTACTCAGGAGGAGGGTGAGGCAGGAAGCTTGTGAACCCTGGAATGCCTAGCTTGGTTCAAGGCCAGCTTGGACTATACAGCAGGACCCTGTTTGAAAAAACAAAACGAAGCCAGGCGTGCTGGCCCCCGCCTGTGATCCCAGCACTTGGGCGTCTGAGGCAGGAGGATCCCTGTGAGTTTGAAGCTAGCCTGGGCTACATAGTGAGTTCAAGGTGGATCTCAACTACATAGTGGGACCCTGTCACAAAGAAACAAACAAACAAGATAGATAGATAGATCGATAGATAGATAGATAAGATAGTGATTGCCCGATATTAATTTTATAAGTGCAGAATATAATGTCTATTGTGATACTGATTTATTTATTTATTTTTGCAGTTCTGGAGATCAAACTCAGGGGCTTGAGCATGCTAGGCAAGTGTCACCTCTGAGCTACACCCTCAGTCCGATTAGGATTTTAAAAAAAGTGAATGATTCTCTGCTGATACTCTATCATCTTTTGCTGGCATGCACGTCCTTATAAAGAACTCACTTTAGTTTCATTATTTTAAAAAATGCTCAATCAGACAAAATGTTGAGACTAATTTGCTGTCTTAATAATTTTTTATATGTTATTATGCCTACTCTTCAATATATGCTGCTCTTGGGGGAAGGAAAAGGGAAAGGAAAAGGCATTTATTCAGCTTTCACTATGCTATGCAATTTGGCTGTGGAGAACGGAGGGGTGCACTTTTTTCTTTCTCTTTTTTTGGGAGGGTACTGGGGATCAGACTCAGGACCTTGCGCTTGCAAGGCAGGTGCTGGAACCACTGAGCTAAATCCCCAGTCCTTTTTCATTTTCATTTTTTTTTTTTTTTGAGACAGGGTCTTACTGTGTAGTTCAGGGTAGCCTTGAACTCCAGGCCGGTCTGGAACTCATGGCAATGCTCCTGTCTCACCCTTCCTAGTGTTTGGAGATGCATTTCTGTCCTTAGACTCAGGTGGTTCTTTTTTTTTTTTGGTACCGGGGATCAAACTGGGGTCCTTGCAAAACTATTTTTTTTTTTTTTGTACCAGGGATCGAACTTGGGTCCTTGTGCTTGCAAGGCAGCTCAGGTGGTTCTTGGGAGCAAGTTACCACCTGGGTAAAGGCACAGGCTGTGACCTCAGAGGTCCACAAAGTCAAATTGCTGCTTTAGCATTTATTGGCATGGGACTTAGGACAAGAAACACAAGGCCTCTAGGCCCCAGTTTACTCATGGGTCGCTGCGGGGAAGAAATGAAATAACGGAGGAAAGCACGTAGCAGAGGACTTGACACACAAACACCAGTTGTGCCACTGGCGCCAGCAGAGGTGAGCAAGGCACTCGTACCAGGTGCAAAATCTAAGTGGGTACCCAAGACTCAGGGATCAAGATAAATACAATTTAACACAACATTTAAGAAACATTTAAGAAAAACTATTGGTGCAGAAAATCTAAGATTAACGAAATATGAACATCTTCATAAGGATGGGATCAGAAGGGCCGGGGATTTAGCTCAGTGGTGCCGCACCTGCCTTGAAATCACAAGGTCTGGAGTTCAATCCCCAGTACCAAAAAAAAGAAAAGGATGGGATCTGAAATCCTGGTTTTCTTACCTGGCTTCAGTAGGGTTTGGCACGTCGCTCCATCCCACATTCTCGTGTGGCAGGTCCTGCTGTTCCTTTTTGCTGTTGGACAGAAGTAAAAGTTGTCTTCTAATTCTCCTACCTATGAAGATCGCTGTCTGATAAGGTACTGCTTGGCAGGAAACCGGAACAAGAGGTCAGCTTGTGTGGGGTGGGGTTCCTTGTCTGGACTGCACGTGATGTCAAGACAGTCCCTGAATGCTGCCTGCACTCTGCTGGACGGAGCCTAGGTGCTGTCCGACTCCTCAGAGAATTGTTGGAAAGATGAGAGAAAAGTTTTCCAAAATCCATGTGCAGTGGAATTTTCTATAATCCTTCCCTTGCTACTGAACTGAATTTTGGGTGATTCAGTTTATTCTGAAGTTATTCTAGAACTTCTGGTCACGAACTCAGAACAAAGTCTCCTTTGTCTCTCTAGTAAGCAATATGAAGTCTCAGTTGTATGCTATGTAACTACACCCTGAGGTGGAATTTGCCCACCTTTGTGTACCAGACACAAATACGGTACTACCAGGAAGGATCTTTCCAATGGTTTGCGGTTCCTTGGCTGGTTGTGCCTTAGTTGTAGCTACTTTAAGAAACCTGTGTGAAACCAAGAATGGTGGCACACACCTGTAATAACTACCGGAAGCTGAGGCAGGAGGACCAAAGTACAAGCCAGCCTGGGTAACTTAGTGACCTAATGAGAGCTTGTCACACACACACACAAAAGTCACGGTGATATGGCTCAGTGTGAAGGCCCTGGTTTCAATCCCTATTACTGCAAAAATATATTTTAACAAAAAATTCTTGTGTGATGGATAGACAGCAATGAAGCTGTAAGTAAAACATATTTAAGAAGACTAGCCTAAGCATGAAAGAAAATTAGCAAAATAAACCACTTATGAAATATTGAAGACATGAAAATCCCATTACGTTTGTTGTACATTTTCTTTTCTTTTTTTGGTACTGGGTATCGACCATTATGTTTACATAGGAAAGGAAAAAGAGAGTTCTTTAATTACGTTACTAGTAGCAACAAAAACAAAGAAAGCCATTAATAATAATAATAATAATAATAATAATAATAATAATGTGTTAACTGGTTAATGCTAGGTTTTAGTTTAAAAGGATAATGTCCCAAAATCTGAACCCCACCTCTGCTCAATATAAGATTTCTCTTCGATGATGAAAAAATTAAAAAGGAAAACAGATACGGTGATGATGAAATTGATCAGGGAATTCAGATTGTCAATGGGTGCAAACGATGTATTGTGGTTTCCACTTTTTCACAACAGTACATGTCAACGCAAAGACAGTCACTCTATTTTGAAAGTGTCCATGGGCTCTGGAGACTGCTCTGTGGCTGGTGTGCGTTACCTTCCCTTTTACTGAGAAACTCTAAAGAGCAGCCAGCACCTTTCTTGCATGTTTCCTGCAACCAGTCATTTCCTACCCACTAGCGACCTGATAACTAAAAGATACTCATTAAATGTCACTAGTGACTTTCTATATGCTAGGTCACCTGGAAACGTCTGCTGGAGCCTTTTTACCTGTGGGCTCTCTGACATGGTCCCCAACCCCACAGCTCTGGCTCTCCCTCACTGTTCCCTGGTGGGGACCTTCCTCCTCCTTCTGGTCTCTACATATGCCCACTCCTTGTGGTTTAGTGCTTCGGCCCCTAATTATTAGGGATGAAGACACCTCCCATCAGAGGAGGGTGCCCCACTGAGTCATAAGCTCCTGTGAAGAGTCGCTGAGGACCAGATGAAATGATCAGTGTATCCTTCCTGTTCGTGCCACATTCACGGCCCAGCTGGTTTTCAACCTTTTTTTTATGAATACCACTTTTGACCTATGCAAGCCCTTGACCTTCACCTAGCTGGCCTGCTTGCTGGCCTCACAGATGTCCTGTACAGCTTATCTTCTAGACCCTGGCAGTGGAGGGACAGGACCAGAACCCAGCCATGCAATAAATGAATGAAAGAAAGAGAGAAAGAGAGAAAAAAAGAAAGAACCTTACAATGTCTGCCCCAGTGATGGCAAATCTTTTAGAGATCGAGTGTTCAAACTGCAACCCCAAACCCACTTATTTATTGCAAAGTGCCAACACTGCAATTAAACCTGAATATTGAGGTTTTAGTTAAAAAAAAACAAAAACCAACTGTTATCTGATGCTCAGCTGCTCAAGCGACTTGGCTCATGTGCCAATAGTTTGCCACCACTGCTCTAGTATATATATGTTGCACAAATTATTTATATTTAATGACTAGTTGGTGACTAGTATTACAGCCAGGAAGTTTATACTTGCTCTTTTTTTTCTTTCTTTCGGTACCGGGGATCAAACTCGGGTCCCTGTGCTTTTGAGGCAGGCGGTGGAACCACTGAGCTAAATCCCTGACCCCAACTTGCTCTTTTGATGAAATCATTTTTAGTAAACTGTGCCAGCATAAAATAATTTGTGATAAATCATGGACTGTTAAAGTAACGAGGGGAAATCTATTCTCTGTAATGAGCTCCAATACAAAAAATTCTGGAAAAATGGGATACTTGATTGGAATTTGTCTTACAGAAATAGTAAAAGGTGGGAAAGAAACTAGGGCAAGCTTAAATCATTGTGCATTAAATTTCGTCTCTTAAGATTCAAAACAAATTGCTTTGCAAAGAAAAAAAATGCAGATTAGAAATGGGATGTAATAGGCCTGGTTTGAGATGACTTTGACACCTCAGGACTCATATTGAGGAATCAGGTTTCAAAAGAACTATAACTTTTTTCTTATTGTTAGTGAATATTTAAAAACGTTGGTGTTCTGTTTATGTTACTTAGCGTTAACACTCTTTTTTTAGCACTGGGAATTGAACTTAGGGCCTCATGCACACTAGGCAGGCACTTAGCTACTAAGCTACATCCTCAGCTATTGTTAACTAACGTCACCCTAAATAGAGGTGGCTACAGTGACAAGAGCCCCTCAGCTTTTCCACCCTGGAACATGAGGGAGTCTTGTGGCAGATAAAATGTCAAAGTCATGCTTTGGAGACCACCAGAAGTTTCCTGTTCGGTAGGTGTGCCAAGTGAAGGAATATAAAATTCACTATCACTGTCCTAGAAGGGAGCCTGGGGGGGGGGGGAACAGGAGAAAACGTTCGGAACCTTTCCCTGGGCCCCCTGGGTTCAGACAGGTGCTTTCTGGGGACACCTACGTCCTTCCAGACAGGGTAGCAAATTCCTTGCGTTTCAAATATATTTTAAGTGGCAGAAAATCCCTGGGAAATCGAGTGACACAGTCATCACAACGACACAGACTTCAATTCAGCATGTATTTCCTGAGTACATGTCACGAGCCAGTCAGCGGGAATCCAAGGAGAAGAGGAAAACAATAGCCATGGAGCTTTTACAGGGCTAAAGGGCTGCTGTTAGGTCAGATGTCCACATTCCGGGACGCAGAGCCGGGACGGTTCTGGCCACAGTGGCACTTTGACATATGTCTATTTGATTACCGTTTGTCAAGCCACAAGCTTCGAGATAGCCGAGCCCTGCCTGGTTTCCCTCTCCTTCCATTGTGTCTCAGAGCTAAACATAGTTTGGAGAGCTTGGCAGACGTCCAATAAATGATACTGACTGAATGAATGTTTCAGACGCAGGAGCCCTTCGTGGGGGGCATTATCCTATTTCCCAGCGGAGGACACAGCCGCGGAATACCCTGGAGCGCGCGCGCGCACGCACACACACACACACACACACACACACAGACACTCGCGCGCGCGCGCGAGCGCGCACACACGCACGCCTGGATTCGAAGCTGGGTCCCTCCTACCAGTCACGCTCTTCCTCCCCTCCCGGGGATGGGGGCCCGGGCGGGCGGGGAGCCTGGCGCCTGGGTAAGTAGACCCACCGTGGGAGCGGCAGGAACCAGACGCAGCGGGAGGGGGCGAAGGTGGGTCCCTTGCGCTCGAATCCCGCCCACGCGAGGCAGGGAATCACGAGTGGGTGGCCGCGCGTGGTGCAGGGGGACCTCGAGTCAGCGCGCGGAGCGGAAGGGAGGGGACCCCGCTGCGCTGCAAGGTGACCGAGGGCCCCGGGCTCGCTCACCTGCACAGGTGGGGCGTGCGCCCGAGCGTGGCTTCTACCCAGCTCGAGGCAGGGAGGGCGGACAACTATTTTAGTGGGCAGGAGGTTTCATGAAAACGGGATGCTGGGGTTCCGGGGAGCCTCCCTCTGCAGCCTCCAGGGCTCTCCTCTTCCCGGGCGCCCTGCAGACCCTGACCTCTGCCGTTCCGGGGGCGCCGCCCCACGACAGCGCGCGAGAGCCCCGCCGCCCGTGGACCCCGGGCGGCCACCGCCGAGCGGCTATTTCGGGCGCGGCGCGCGCGGGGGGGGGCAGGCGGCGGCTGGCGGGCGGGGACGCCTAGGCTCCAGTGCCTGGCAACCGCGTCCAGGCAACGCGTCCCCCGCCCCCCCTCCCCCGCCGCAGCGAGCCGCGGCCGCGGCCGCGCAGACTGATTGGCCGGCGCTCCCCGCGGCGCGGCCGCAGCCCGGAGCCCGCAGAGCTCGCCGCGCGCCGGAGAGCTGCCCGCGCCGGTGAGTGCAGAGCCCGGCCGCCCGCGGGGGCAGACGCCGCTCCGCGCCACAGGGTGATCCGCGCGCCGGCTGGAGGGCAGGCGGGCGGAGCGAGGCGAGGGCAGCGTGCTGTGCTCGCAGGTCTCGGGCGCGGGGCGGTGCACAGGTCGCTGGGGCAGGGGCGCGTCCCCGTCCCACCCAGCGAGCTGAGTGACCTTGGACAGGTCGACCCTGCCCGTATTTGGAAGGAGAGACGTGGGTCCTGGGCAGTTGTGTTGCGCCGTGCCGTCGTGCTAGGAGCCGAGGGACAGCCTGAAGCACGGTTCGGTTTGTCAGGTGTTGGATCTGCAAGACTCAACCAAGTTTATTCTGCAAGGGGTTTCCTGGAACCGACCCCCGAAGTGACGAGGGAGGTCACTGTCCTGTGGAAGATGCTCAGGAGAGCAGTCTGAGGTCTGCAGAGCGGCTGCTTAAAACGCTCAGGTCAAAACCCCTGGGTGCCCCAGCCCAGGGTTGTGAACAAAAATCAAGAGTTAATCCTCCCGACTGCTTCTTTGCTGTAGTTGATCTCATAGAAAACTTTGTATTTGAACAGGTAAAACCAAAACCCAGTAGTGGCAGGCAGCAGCAAATTAAATGAGTCATTTTTTCAATGTGCCTGAGGTGCGCGCGCGCGCGCGCGCGCGCGCGTGTGTGTGTGTGTGTGTGTGAGTGCGCACGCGCGCACCCTCAGCCTAAAGACCCTATACCTGGTGTCAGGAATTATTTCGCAGGAGTGATCAGAAACAATGCTGGACTGGTTTGAATCTGTCAAAGTGCAGCTTTCTGGGGAGCAGGGCCAAACACAGGCAGGTTGCTCTTCAGATAAGAGGTTCGTGAGAGTAAATATGTTTCTTTATTGAGAACCATTGGTAGGATTTGCACGTTGTATCTGCTTTCAGAGCTCCGCCATGGAGTGTGTGTGTGTGTGTGTGTGTATGTAAGGAGTATCTGATAGGCTGTGGTTCCTCTTCTATTTTTAGCACTGGCTGGTACTAAAAAAGACACTCAGGCCCTTTTCCACATTGTCCATCGGCAAACTTCCCTCTTCTGCCTGGAGGGACAGACCTGCCTTCCTCTCCCAGGCCTGCCCCTCTGACTTTGAGAGAACCTGGATATTCGTTTGGGTCGCATCTCATCTGTATAAAAATGTGGGCTGGGCAAAGTTTTCCGGTTCATGAAAAAGCTTCTTGTGCAAGCTTGCTTACCAGAGGCTTAGTGATCGTTAATGGTTTATACATTAGAAAGCCAGTGGCTCACAGAAAAATACTACGGCCCAGGCATTCAGCCCTACTAAGCCTCCAATGAGCAGATCTCACTGTGCTTGGAATCTCCATTAGCAAAGTCCCCCGCATCCTCGGCAGGCCGCTGGCCTGTGTGACTGCAGTCTTGCAGTGTCCCCTTCCCTACATCCTGCAGCCAGACTCCTGCATTTCCATTTTTCCATTGCCAAGCGGTTCCTTGGCCTTCCCTTTGTACCTGAGCTTCAGGGAATGACTTTTCTCAGAACAGCCCTCTCTGCTGCCCTCTCTCTCACCTGAGCAAGGATGCTCATCTTCTGGCTCGGTACTTCCCACCCTGGTGGGTCTTCAGAATCACTTGGAAGATTTTGAAAAACATGATGTGTTAGGCTCAAGTGTGCCAAAGTAGAATCATCAGTGTGGGTGAGAACTTCAAAATCCTCATTTTAAAAACAAACCCCAAAAGAAGAAAGAGGAGCAACAGGGGAGGGAGGAGGAAGAGAGGAAACAGCTCCCTGCTGATTCTGGTGTTCACTTCGGTTTGGTGTTGACTTCACTTGATGCTACAAAGTGAGCCAGTGACAGGAGGGACCAGCTTCATTCTCTTTGCCTTGCCTCTTTTTTTTTTTTTTTGGTACTGAGGATTGAACTCAGATCCTTCCGCTTGCAAGGCAGGCAGCAGAACCACTGAGCTAAATCCCCCGCCCCTGCCTTGCCTCTTGCCAGTGACTTTGGGGTTTATGTAGAGGGTCTTCTAATTCATTGACTGCACCTAGAGTTACTCAATGCCAACTCTCGGGGCTTCAGTTTTCACTTTACTTCAACCACTAGCATCTAGGATGTGTTCAGTCTTGAGAATTTCTTCACCTTCAACATCTAGAGCTTGGACTTCTGCCTACTGAGCTGATTCTTTCCACCCACTGTGTTTGCTTCGAACCACCACTGAGGACTCTGATCACTTGCTGTTCCCGTTCTGTGGCTCCTCAAGGCGCCCTCCCGCCATTGGGAGCCTCGGGTGGCCAGCCACTTCCGCCATCTGCAGTCTGGAATCCATTGTCAAAACAGGTTGGGCTTCTCCTATTCCAGTTTCCAATCCCAAATCACCCTCATTGTGTGCACTGTCCTTCCAGCCTGCCTTGGTATTACCCAGCAGAGGCCTTCACACTAGTTCCATTGCTGGTTTGTGCTGGTTGCTTTCATTCACTGAGGTCTTGCTCTTCTAAAGAAAAAGTCCATCATTTGTTGACTCCGACTGCATCCACTTAGAGTTACACTCAGGTTACACCAGAGCTTTGCATCACTAATTAAACTCGTCATGAGTTCCCTTCACTGGTAAAGGTACAGACATTCTAGTTTGCAGCCCTGGGCCTTCATTCACTGTGCGTCCTCCCTGTGTCTTCACTCGTCCCAGGCGTTTTCCTCTGCTTGTTTTTGCCCTTGTTTATCTTCTTTCTTCAAAAGAAGATGTCTTCAGAGGAACCTAGGCCGGCACCCTGCCCTCTCTGGCCTTGAAGCCAGCAATCTCTTCCTTCCTCCGGGGCCCTTTGGGAACTTGTTCCATTTCCCGTTCCCCATCTCCATTTCTGTGGCCTCTCCTTCCTCTGCCCCAGCCCCCATTCCGCCATGTATTCAGGTCACTCATCTCCTGGGAAATTGTTCGAGAGGCCCCGCCCTGTGCCGTAGAACTTCCTGCGGCGAGGGAAATATTTTATATCAGTGCTGTCCCTGAGCTCTCCCAGTGTAGCTAAGTGTGACTGAGGAATTGAAGTTTTAAGGGGCAGACTGCAAGTTTTGCATGCATGAGGCATTCTCAGTTCTATCCCCAGCACCACAAAAAAAGAAAAGAAAAATATTCAATTCCCTTTAAAGGGGCACACGGGGCTGTTGGTGACTGGGAGACTGTGCAGCCCCAGATCCCAGGCACTGATGAGCTCTCCGGCTGGCCGCGGGTCTCGCCTTGGGCAGCCCGCTCACACTTCATCTCCATCGTCTTCCTGCCGAAGCTGCCTGCTCCTGGGCGGCAGTGGAGGTGCCCTCACGGCCCCTTGGCTCTGTCCCGCTCCTTGGTCTGTGCCCTGCGGCGGCTGGTGGTGTCACTCTGCTCCTGGGCCTCTCGTGGTCCCTGTCTTCCACAGCACTGGCCGCCCAGGTTCCGTGCCCAGCTCCTGTGCCTCCTTCGCCTTCCTGTCCTTGGGCCCCCTCAGCTTTCCTGGCCTCATCTGCACCCCAAAACCAACCATGACGAGGGGGACTGGACGAGTCCCCTCACCTCCCCGAAAGCCTGGCTCCTTCCTCCGGCTATGAGGCCACAACTCTTCCGGTTCCTGTCCTGAAGGTGAAGAGCCCGAGGGAGACAGAAGTTAGAGTAACTGAAGGGAGGCACTGCTCGCTAGGAATCGATCAGAGAAAGGAACTCGGGATCTGAATGTGGAGCTGGCAACCTCTGAGCTTGGAGCCCTCCTTTCGACCCTGTTTTGCTCAGCTTGCCCCCTAGATTTCATTCAGAGTTTAATACCAGGAAACCTACTATTTTGTCACACTGGATTCCTTAATCAGTGTTCCTCTTTCTTAACTTTTCATTTTGAAATAAGTCATATTTACAGAAAAATTCCAAGGATTTAAATAATTCAGATATACCCTTTAACCACATTCTTCTTCATTTTTTTATGGTACCGGAAATTGAACTCAGGACCTTGCGCTTGGCAGGCAGGTGCGGTACCACTGAGCTACATCCTGGGCCCTAACCACATTCTTCTATCACAGTCTCTTACTCCCTGACTCGGCATACCTGTGTCTATGTCGCACACGTAGACATGTACACACACATATATTTGTTGTAAATTTTCCCTGAACCACTTCAGAATAATATAGACATGGTATACCTTTATCCTCCTAAATACTTAAGGGTATTTTTTTTTCTTAAAAAAGAACACTTTCTTCCAAAACAAGTGTCAAAATCAGATTTAACAATCAAGGTCCTGAGTTTGATCCCCAGTATTGGAGGAAAAATCAGATTTAACATTGATTTAGGGTTATTATCCAATCCACAGATCTTATCATGTATCACCAGTTGTCCTTTATGCAAAAAGAGGGGGAAAGATCTTTAAAAAGCAAAACAAAACAAATGCTTTTGTCCAGGAGCCAACCCAGGCTCTTTGTTGCATTAGTTGTCATTTCCTTTAATCTGGGCCAGTTCCGTAGTCATTCTATCTGTCTTTCATGACCTTGACAATTTTTTTTTCGGTTTTTTGAGACAGGGTTTCGCTAAATAGATCAGGCTGGCCTCAAACTCACTATGTAGCCCAGGCTGTCCTGGAACTCATGGCGATCCTTCTGCCTCAGCCTCCTGAGTGGGATTACGGGCCTGCGCCACCACGCCCAGCGGTGACCTTGACACTCTGGAAGGGCTCGGGCCAGTTACTTTGTAGGCTGCCCCTTCACTGGGCGTGTGTGCCATGTCCTGTGCGTGGTGGCACTGTGCCCTCCCCATGGCCCCTGGCTGGCTGTCGTGCTGTTGTCCTCCTCTCTGTAGCTGGAACTGGCACCTGGGCAGTGCTGCTCCTGTGTACCTCCTGTTGGTCCTCCAGCCTTGAGGTGCACCCTGCACTGTCCCCCTCAATCTGTCCCATCCTGCTTGTTCTCGTTGTGTCTCCTGTGTCCAGCAGTTGAGGTGCGAAGTCTACTGCCCAGTGGGCACAGTTGCTTTGTCCTCTCTCCATCCTTCCCTACTCTGTGCTTAGCCCATCTCTTGGGATACCCACCTCTAATCCTGCTCCTCAGATGCTTCCCCTGATGGCCCAGCTCAAGCCCATCCTGCCTTCTGCTCAGTGGCTGTTGGGTCTGTGACATTTTGGAGCCCAGGGTGGCCTCCAGCCTTCGACCCTCCTGCCTCAGACTCCCGAGCGCTGGCATTACAGGGGTGCCCCTCTCCACTTGTGCCTGGCACCCTGCTGATACCGTCTCCCTTGACTCACAGCCCAGTGCGTACTCACTGACTGGACTAAGGCACCAGTTAAATCAGCAAGCAGAGGGTCGCGATGACCTTAGAGCTGTGTGCCAGCTTCCGGTCTGCGAGGGCAGCTGTGAGACCCATGCCGCGCCCTTCGAGGCAGGTGGGTGGCTCAGAAGAGGCTCTTGTAGGGAAGCAGTGGATACTTGGAGAAGTGGAACAAATTATTTCCCTGCTGACATCTTAAGTTTGTGCCTGTGTTGAGACGAAGAGAGAGCATAGTTGATCTGAGAAAGGACTGGAGAAACTGAACATCACGTATTAAAAATGGCCCGCCTGGTTCTCCACACTTCCAGTGGGCAGCTGAAAGGGAGAGCCTCCCAGACTCACTTCCTCCCTGGAGCCCAGCCACCTCTTCCTGCCATTGTCGGGTCTCTCCGACCTCTACTTGCTCGTTCTTCTCTTCCTTTTTTTTTTTTTTGAGACAGGTTCACTACATTCCCCAGGCTGGCCTCGAACCTGCTGTGTTCCTCCTGCCTCAGCCTCCAGAGTGCTGGGATCACAGGTGTGTCCCTCCATGCCTGGCTCAAAAGCAAGTGATTTTGAAAGAGGAAATTCGATTGATTTTTACTACTTGGTGGTCTTCTGTGATTCTTTTCCTTGCTCAGTGGTCCTTGTTTACATGTTTGTTTGCTTTTGAGGTACTGGGGGATCAAACCTAGGGCCTTGGATAAGCTAGGCAAACCTTCTGCCACTGAGCTGTGCTCCCGGCCTTTTTACTTATTTATTTTTGCCGTGCTGGGGATTGAACTCAGGGCCTTGGATGTGCTAGGCAAGCGCTGTATTACTGAGCTACCCCTCGAAACCCATTTGGTTTTTTTTTTTTTTTTGAACCGGGGATCGAACTCGGGTCCTTGCGTTTGCACAGCAGGCGGCGAAACCACTGAGCTAAATCCCCAGCCCTCATTTGGTATTTTTAAAAAGCAGTCATGAGAGGTAATAAGGTGATTTAGCAGAACATAATCCCCTCTTTCCGGTACCCCAGGAAAGTTGCTGCGAATGTGCTGGTTGACAGGCATCCGAAGGGCTGAATTTTTCTGTCTCTGCTGAGAAGTCAGGAGTCAGCTTGTAGGGCTGCGAGTTGCCCAGGTGGTTGGGAACGCAGGGCGGCTCCCTCGTGCTGACCCACGGTTACCCCAACACGGGCCCGCAGCGCTCCTGGGGAAGTGAGGTGACGGCCGAAACGTCCTCTCCGCAGGAAGTCCCTGCGGAAGAAGCAGAAGTCCTGTTGCTGCATCTCTCTGAGCTCGGCTTGAAGAAAGAGCGCGTTTGTGTGGGAGCGCGTGTGTGGGGTTGCTCTCGCATTATGGGATTCTTAAAATTGTTTAACCGGGAAGATGTTATTCAGAAACCTCTGGTGCCTTCAGCTTGGTTTATTTTTTTGTTTCAGATTTCTCCCCCCTCCCCCCCTTTTTAATTATCTCTGGAAGAGCTCAAGAGTCCTCCCCTGCTCTCTCTAAATAGTTATAAAATTAATGTGCTGAGCTCCAGTTGTTGCTCAAAATGAAAGAGTCTCTCCAAGACTGGCACACTAGGCAGGGGAGGCCGGCAGCCCTCTGCCAGTGAGGAAGGAATTGGGGCCACATTGGCTTTGTCTTCCAAACCCTCATCCTGAGCTCCCCACAGGCAGGACCCAAAGTCGAACCTCGATTCCCGGGGGACACGGAGTCGGCCTCTCTGTGCGAGCCCTGCACACCTACCTAGGGGCCGAGGGAGAGAATTTAGTAGGTAGAGTTTACACCGGCTTTTAATAATATATTTTTTCTGTTCTAGCTGTTGTATTTGGCAGATTCCCTTTTGTAACATTTGGTAATGTGTCTTCTCTAATGCTAGAGAGAAAAGTTGCCAAATATAGCTGTTGATAAAAGTAATATTAAGACACTTCTCTCTCGGTGTGGGTGTGCGCGCGTGTGAGGGCCCGGCCCGCCGTGGGGCGGCCTGAGCCGTCTGCCAAGCTCACAGCTGGAGCAGCCATGGAGAAATCAGCAGCAGGATGTGAGCGTGGGAACCACGGGCCTTTCAGACAGACAAAAAGGCAAATCAACACATACTTATGTGCTGGGGTTCACGGGGGACACGGCTTCCTATGGGACACGGTCCCTGCTGCCCCCAGTAGCTCAGCCGGGGAGACAGAATCCGTGAAAAGTTCAAATAACAATAGAAGATTTAAATAGCATTTCAAAATAGCTGTTATTAATAGACGAGAACAAAAACCAGTCTGTTTCTGCAGGGTTCTCCTGAACATGTCAACGTCGTTCTGAGCCGGGGAGGGTGGAGAAAGCAGACTCCTGTGACGGCGGGGAACCCAGTGGTTTGCGTGTGACTCGGGACTGTCCAGAGCCCACCCGTCTGTTGGAATCACTGGATTCCTTCAGCTATGCAGCACCCACTGCTGTGGCCGGAAGACCGCTGTAAACGCTTTAAGCATTCTAAAACCTAATTTAAATTTTTGTTGTTGTTGTTTTGAGTCAGGGTTGAACTATGTAGTTCAGGCTGGCCTTGAACTCATTATGTAGGCCAGGCTGGCTCCCTCCTGCCTCAGCCTCCTGAGTGCTGGGATCACAGGTGTGCGCCACCATGCCCAGCTTTGTGACTTGATTTTGATAGCTGTAAGTGAAATTTTTCTGGTGTGTGTCTGTGTGTGTGTGTGTGCGTGCACGCGCGTGTGTTGGCTCATTCCTTTTTTCAAGTACTTATGTAAATTTTTATAATTGCAAAAATATGCCTATATAAGGTATTCTGAAAATAACAGCAGTCATGGTGGTGCATACCTGTGACCCTAGCACTCGGGAGGCTGAGGCAAAAGGATCACTGCCAGTTCAAGGCCAGCCTGGGCTACATAGCATGACCCTGTCTCCAAAAAAGAAAAAGAAAGAAAGAAAATAAGGAAAAGCAGAATACAAATGTACCCAGTGGCACTACTTACATTTTTATTTCCTTCTTTCCATGATTTGAACAGTATTTCCAAAACAAGACTTCTAGAGCCTTACCCGTAATTTCCAAGATGGTCGAGGGGTTTTTGGTCTGTCCGAGAACGGCCGTTTTGGTCTGAGGATGCCCCTCACGCGCAGGCCACGCAGGGCTTGGGTCTTGGACCCGCACTTCCTGCCCACGCACCTCGGCAGCACCAGCCATCTGCGCCCTCCTGCCCCGGCCCGGGATACTTCTTCCAGGGACTGTGCACCTGTTTCCCAGAATTCTGGTCAGGGCAGGGAGAGGCGAGCTGTCCGGCAAGGAGTCGAGTGCCCATGGGAGCCCTGCGGACGTGAGGGGGCGCCCCTGCGGCCAGCTGTGGGCCTTTGCTTGGCCTGAGCAGCTGGGTACCCTGGGTCCACTCGAACAGCCCTCTCCTTTCACTAAAACAAGTGGCTCAGCCGGGGATTTAGCTCAGTGGCTCCGCCGCCTGCCTCGCAAGCTCAAGGTCCCGAGTTCGATCTCCGGTGCAAAACAAACCAAGCAACCAAGTGGTTCAGCCACGTACTGGCCGTCCTGGCTGTCCACACCGCCGAATAATTCCAGGATGTGGCTTGGGGGAGCAGGGTGGGGGGCTGGGGGGCTGTGAGGTGGGAAGTGGGACAGCATTAGAAGTAGCCCCGGCCCGCCGGCTGGATCGGAGGGAGGGGAGGAAGCCAGACAGTCGCGGGCCGAGCACACAGTGGGGCCGCGCTGAGCTTGCCCTGGACCTCGGTGTTCTGGCCGGCCGGCGTCAGGCTGGCTTCTCACTGTGAGGAGGACCGCGGGGCTGTGGCACTGGCTTCATGGTGGTGCTGGTAGGAAATTTCCCGGATCCTTTAAATTCCTACGTTAGAATATTTGCACCATCTGACTGTGCTGCCGTGGGTCAAAGATCTGGTTTCCAGGCCCTGATTCTGGTTTTATAGAAGACTGTACAGTCAACTTGTTTTTGAAACGTTAACATTTTGGCAAGGATGTATTTATGATGTTATTTTGTAGTCTGTGTGGCCATTATTTCAAAGAGCTATTGCTATTTTTTAAACTTTATTTTATTTTATTTTTTGGTACCAGGGATTGAACTCGGGTCCTTGTGCTTGCCCAGCAGGCGGTGAAACCACTGAGCTAAATCCCCGGCCCTAAACTTTATTTTTTTGATACAAGTTCTCGATATTAGTTCAGGCTGGTCTTGAGCTCACTGCGTAGCCCGGGCTGGGCAATCCTCCTGCTTCAGCCTCCTGACTGCTGGGATTACAGGAGTGGACTACCACACGCAGCTTGATATTCTTTTGATAAATATTATGGATGGCTTTTATAAACGGCCATTGATATTTTAATCAGCTACTCTTCTATTACTGAATTCTTAACCACTTGCCATTTATAGAAATGCTGACAGCTGGTTAAGATCGCAGGCTAAGTATGGATAAAATGCTTGAAGGATAGAGATGTGATGGAATTCCCATTTCACAGTTCTAGAATGTGTAGATCAAGATGGAGCTCCGTGGGTACACTGGGGAGACTGTGTGGTCCCCCTTTGAACTTGTGGCCTTTACATAGTTCATCTTTGTTTAAATGAGGGCAGAAAGAAGTAATGTTCTTTTTAAATGATACGAGGAAAAGTAAAGTATAAGAAGTCAAATGTATACATTTACTTTTTCGTTGTTTTTTTTAAGACAGGGTCTCACTATGTAGCCCAGGCTGGCCTCGAACTTGCAGTGATTCTCCTGCCTCAGCCTCCTAAGTGCTGAGATTACAGGTGTGCAGCACCACACCCGGCTCAAATATATACATTTACTTGAAGCCCCCTGTATTCCTCAGGGACTTGTAATTCTTTGTGTGTGTGTGTGGGTGTGTGTGGGTGTGTGTGTAAGACAGGAGCTTGCTATGCAGTTCAGGGTGGCCTTGAACTCTCCCTGGCAAGCCTGTAACTCAGCCTCAGGCTCCTGGACCACCACGCCTGACTGGGACTTATACTTCTATTCATTCATTTTCAATACTGTTTGTTCTTTGATTGCATAAATGTAGCACGCTATATTCATCCAGTTGCTGAAGGATGTATGCCCAACCTCCCCACCCATACTTTTTTTATATTAGAAACAATGCTATCCTAAATATTCTTGTAAATGTTTCCTGATGAGTACATTTGGAAAGATTTTTTTGACTATTTCTTAGCAGTAGAATTTTGAATCGTGGGATTTGTGCCTCTCCAGATTTAGAGGTATTGAACATTGCTTTCAAAGTGGTGTTGCTGATTCGCATCCCATCTGGGATCCCTACTGCTCCACATCGATAGCAGATCTTCTCACAACTGATTTTTGACAATCTGATGGGATGAAATGTTATCTCTTGTGATTTTTTCATGTGGCAAATTAGATTTGCTTTATCATTTATTTTCACCACCAGAACAGAGCCAGTGGTATGAAAAAAAAAAAACTTGTTACAGTTCTTCTTTCTTCAATATTCTTTTGAGATTCTCTAAGCAAGACAACCACTTGGAAATGTAGAAGAAGACTTAAAAGTTAGATTATGAAATACTCTATTCCTGGTGAAGAGAACTGCATAAGGTCTGGGAGACTTGGTGTCAGAATCACAGCTGCCCCTGTGGGCAGGGGGCTGTGGCTGGGTGGGTGCTCAGGAGCGAGTCACACATGGTCATGGGGCGACCTTACCAGTCAGTCACCACCACAGGTGCCAGGGTGTGGTCATGGCTCAGCACCACGGGTCTAGAGCATTGTAGAATACTGTTTGAACAGTCAGAAGAGCAGGTGTCGGGCCAGGCTCGCCCCAACCCAGTTCTCATTGTGATCCTGTTCCAGTGCATTACTTCACAGCTGAGGGCCAGCTGGCCGATACCGCGAACACTCCCTTTTTATGCACGAACATACAGGAAGCTTAAAGGGATATGTGCTGGGTATGGACTCTAGGCGAGGGGAACTAGCAGAATCATCTTAATGGTTCATGACACGGCCACAAGAGCCTAATCCATCCTCTCCAACAGCTCTTCCCGCTGCTCTGTTTTCTTAGATTCTTGGAAATCCTGATACATTTTGTCTCTTCAAACTGCTGGGATGGTGGCACATGCCTGCAGTTCCAGTTACATGGGAGGCTGAAGCAAGAGGATCACTTGAGTCCAGGAGTTTAAGAGCAGCCTAGACAACACAGTGAGACCTTGCCTCAAAATAAAAATTAAGAAATAGACTTCCCAAATTCAAAGACCCAATCCAAAAATGGGCATCTGAAATTAACAGACATTTCTCAGTCAACGAAGTAGAAATAGCAAATAAACATATGAAAAATGTTCAACATCACTGGTCATTCAAGAGATGGAAATGAAAACAACACTGAGATTCCACCTCACCCCAGAAAGAATGGCTGCTATCATGAAATCAACCAATAACAAATGCTGGCAGGGCTGTGGGGAGAAAGGAACCCTTCTCCGTTGTTGGTGGGAGTGCAGACTGGTGGATCCACTGTGGAAATCAGTATGGAGATACCTCAAAGAACTAGGACTGGAAGTCCCATTTGACCCAGCTATTCCCCTGCTGGGGATCTTCCCCAAAGAATTAAAAGAATCATACCACAGTAATAAATGTGCACCCATGTTCGTAGCAGCACAGTTTGTAATAGCTAAAACTTGGAAGCAGCCCAGTTGCCCATCAGCTGGAATCTGGATGAAGAAGATGTGGTTTTTAAAAAATAAAATGGAGTACTACTCAGCCATAAAGAACAAGAAACTAGAGACATTTGTAGCTAAATGGATCCACAATGAGGCGCAGCTCTTAAGTGAAATAAATAGGACACACGTGTGAATACTGAATAGTTTCTCTAGTGTGAGAAACTGAAAGTGTAAATAAGGACTAAAAGGTATAATAGGTAATGTGAAATAGGAAGAGAAGGGGCAAAGGGGAAGGGGAAGTGGGAGGGATAGGGGAAAGGATAGAAGGGAAAGGAATTAATATGAGAAAATGAAAAAATGGAAACAGAGTCTTTGTAAATAGGGAGGGCAGAGGAAGGGGGAAAAACAATAAGAACCAAGAGAGATTATGTAAAGGCACAAATTTCCAATGAGGAATGTCATTGTATTGTATACCTAAAATGTACCAATAAAATTAATAAAAAAAGAAATATATTAATTAAAAAAGAAAAACTGCTTTTCATTGGACATGCTGTATCAGTCCCTTTTCTAAATCATAAAATACCCTCTAGTCACAGTAGCATTCAGTTGATTAAATCCAGCATTATAAAATCACTTCAGTTTTGGGCCAGAGATGTAGCTCAGTGGTGTTGCACCTGCCTTACAAGTGCAAGGTCCTGAGTTCAATCCCCGGTACCATAAAAAAAACAATCACTTCAGATAATCCTCTGTTCTCAAGATTATTTGTCCTGCGAAAATTTGTTGACCAAAACAGCTCCTCATTTACAACAGTGCCCAACTGGCGAGGCAGTATGGTGTTTGCCAGATTCTAGCAGTGAGTGGCAGCAGGCGCTCCTGTCATAATTATGGACCAACTGGTTTTCATCCCTTCTTGATTTTTCACATTCCATTATCAGAGTTTCATCATAATCTGAATTTTGAATGTAGCTTGCAATCTGTATTACTCACTTTTCATGCATCTGAATCACCATCCGTCCAGTGGAATATCATGCAGGCATTAAAAATGATGGCAGGCGTCTTTCTAAAATAACAGGGAAAGATGTTCATGATATAGTGTCAGGCAATGTAGGGCACACATACTGTATAAAGTACAGTTTTACTTTTTTAAGAGGAAAAGTATATGTCAGATTTTGAAATACATAAATTGATATTCAGAACTTTCTGAATGTCAGCTTTCACTTTTTTTATGCCTCTGCTTAGAGCCTGACTTTTAATACTTTGATTTTATTAATAACAAAAAATATTTTTCAGTTTAAGACAAGGGACAAAATGTCCCAAATTTCTTCACATCAATTTTAGCCAAAAGACGAAGAAATTTCTTCAAACAAATTATGTGTGTTGCAACTCATTCTTTCAAAAAAAATTTTTTTTGAGACAGGCTCTCACTGTGCCAGGCTGGTCTCAAACTCGTGATCACACAAGGAAAGAGTGTGGAGAGGGGGCTGGAGGAGGAGAGGGAGCAGAACTTCGTGGGGAGGCAGGCAGGCGGGAGGGCGGAGAAGCTGCCTCCTCCCACCTCGCTGAGCCCAAAGCTTCCTTCCCATCAGCCCCCGCTGCTCTCCGGAGAGCCCTGGCCGACAGTCTGCGAACACCTCCCACCTGTCTCCGCACACCTTCCGCAGCTCCCCGCCCTCTCTCCTTTTACCCTATTTTTAACTGAGAAAAAAAGGCTCCCCCCACTGCCAAATTACAACCGCTTTATTCATAAATGCTTTGCCTGTGGGTTTTTTTTTTAATATCTGACACTCAGCATACACATCAGCACTATATCTTAATAGTGAAGGGAAAATCTACAGTTTTGTATGAGTGATGTTCTGTTTTCCAGTAAAAAGTGTCATTTGAATTGGTTAAGTTCATGTATAATTTTACATTAGAATGATGCTGTGGTATTTCTACCCTGTATCACATTACTTATAAAAATATAGTAGCTGGGCTGGGGATTTAGCTCAGTGGTTTCGCCGCCTGCTGCGCAAGCGCAAGGACCCAAGTTCGAATCCCCGGTACCAAAAATAAATAAATAAATAAATAAATAAATATAGTAGTTGGGCGTGGTGGCGCATACCTGTGATCCCAGCACTCTGAAGGCTGAGGCAGGAGGATTGCCGTGCGTTTGAGGCCAGCCTGGGCTACATAGTGAGTTCAAGGCCAGCCTGGATTCCACAGCAAGACCCTGCCCCCCCCCAAATATATATAGTAGCTGACACAAATGTCTCCTTTTCTCATTAAAATATTAAAATATTCATATATATCCACTTTCTACTTCTTTCTTTGCAGAATCCTCATTATCACAAATAATTTTTTTTTTAAATTTGTAGTTCTGGAGATTAAACCTAGGAACTCATGCATGCTAGGCAAGCACTCTACCACTGAGCTACATCCCTAGCCCCTTGATTTAAATAGCATTGCCCTTTGCTTTTGTGTGAGCTCTCAAATTCTATGGATATAGGCCATATTTTGGGCATTATGATTTTCCTTTTTCTTTACTTTTTTTGTAGTACTAGAAATTGAAGACAGAGCCTTTATGCTTTACTACATCCCAGCCCTTTAAAAAAATTTTTTTTTTTGGTACCAGGGATCAAACTCAGGTCCTTGCGCTTGCAAGGCAGGCGGTGGAACCACTGAGCTAAATCCCCAGCCCTAAAAATTTTTTATCTTAAGACAGTGTCTCTCTGCAGTCCCAAGTTTGCCCAGGCTTGGCCAGAACGTGGGATCCTCCTTCCTCAGCCTCCCAGAGAGCCACGATTACAGGTGTGTGCACCACACCTGGTGATTTTGCTCTCTCTTATGCCTTTTCATTCATCTTCTTTTTTTTCTGTCTTACCTATCTGTCCCTTCTCCCAGTTTCCCCCAATTTTTTAAAAGCATGTAGTGGAGATTGTTTAGTGTACAGTGAATCCTGACACAATCAGAGCAGCACACAAGCCAGATCTGCCTGCTGAGCTTGTAGATACATTCACAGAGATGAGCCTTATGCAGGTACGGAAGATGACAACCTCAGGCAGATAAGTAAGGATTGAGATCAGGAAGATCTGGAAACCATGCTTGGAGAAGGTATTTGATCCAGTGGCGTCTTTATTGTTAACCCTTGTGACATCCGTTGTCCCGGCCAAGTATCATGATGCTTGTGAGCAGAGAGACCTAAGCAATGAGCAGATCCTCACCATATTCAATGATTCTGAGCAGACAGCAGTGCGTGGTGTATGGTTTCCCATCAGAGAAAGTCACAGTCAGTGCAGGATAACAGCAAGATGTGCTTTTGGCAAACTTTATCCAGCAATCACACACTCCTGTTTTAGAAGGTTGATCCGCTTGGGCTTCCGCAGCTGAGGCAGGATAATTCCTGATGAACGAAACAAACTTGAGAGAAGGGAAAGGCAGAAGCCTCCATTCACTTACAGATCCTTACTGAGCGTCTAACGCCAGTCTCAGTGAGGAGCTCTACTTTTTATCTAAACCATCTTCTCCAGCCATCATTGCTGCGATTGCTGGCATTCACCATTAACAAATATGGATGGGCTGTCTACGCTAGGTCGGCTGTATGCCTTTGGAGATTTGGAGCCTGCCGCCTGAAGAGCCTCGAGTTTAACGGGCACAGATTGTTATGTGCTAACAACAGTAGCCATAAAAAGTCACATAAAACACACAGGCAGGGAGCTGCAGGACTCCAGCGCACGCAGGGAGTTGCTTTAGAGAATGGATGGGCTGTTGGGGCTTAAAGGATGAATAACAGTATTTTGGGCAGGCGGGGATGGGAAAGGATTTCCGTGGACCACAGGGAAGGGGGGGGGTGGCTGCAGCAGAGGGCAGGCCCTTTCAGCTCTACTTCATACAGCTAACCAGTCACCCTGCCATTGGTTTAGCTGTCCTTTTGACCGACTTGGAGCTTTGTCTTACCTACTAATTGCTGCCACATCAGTGGTTTTTAAATTGGGCCTTTCTGTAGACCAACATCTCAGTGAAGGTGTCTTACCACTTTAAAGGTATTCTGCAATCCTAAATAATAGCATTTTTCACGCTGGCTTAATTTTATTTAGCTTAATGACAAATTCTTATCCTTGATACTCAAGAACTCCTTGGGCATGGAGCTTGTTTAGCATGAATAATCTTTTTTTGTTTAAAATGTAATTTGTTTAAATTTTGAAGTTCTTTGTCTAGGAAAGTGAAATGTTCACATTTTAAAACCCTAAAAATAAAACACCAGGGAGATGATTGCCAAAACAATGGTGTCAATCAGAAATGCTTTCTGAATCCAGTTTCTAAATGAGCACCGATTACTGAGTCAGGGCCCCATTACTGGCACTCATTGTTGTAAGCCAGTATTAACAGCAGTATCGAGAGACTTCAGGAATGAAATCTTTGAAAAACTGTCCAGTTTTCTTATGAGTTGAGCTGATCAGATGTTCCTCATATGTAAGTTGCAATGTAAGTGATTACATCTTATAATAAAGCTTTAAAGTTTTTTTTTTTCCTCCCCTTGGTACTGGGGATTGAACTCAGAACCTTACACTTGCCAGGCAGGCCCAGTGCCACTGAGCTACATCCCCAGCCCTGGAAAAGTGATTTCTTAAGCTCGGGATGCAAGTGGAGAGTAAGAAAAGACCTGGAAACCTCATTTGCCAGTCCTTGTGGATCTGTCCAGCAAGGCTTAGTATTAATTTCAGAAGCATTCTGATTTTGCTAAATTCTTTTATGCTTATTTTAAAACATTTACTGTTTATTTCATAAACAAGATATAACACACTTAATAACAGAACAGTGTGTCGGCACAACGTAGGAGCTACTTAGTAACTTAATTATAAACTTTTGAGGCCATTTAACTTCTGGATATAAACTATTAAATAATTTAGTGCTTATTTTTCAACAGATGTGAATTATTAAAAAGAAAATGGCCCAACGGAGCCCTGTATTTCCTTCTCTTGTCATCGAAGAAAGGTATAATATATGGAAAATATGCATCTAAGGTATACTTTTTCTTTCCACCAATCCCATGAGGGTGGCTTGTGGGTGTGATGGTTATTGTCAATGAAGCCTGTGGCTGTTACCTGATCCGTGAATAGTTTTGCACAAGGGCAAGAGAAGTATCACTCTGTCCCCTCTCTTGGCTTCTGATTTGTGTGATTCTATGGGATCACTGTGTCCACCCAGAAGTGGGGAGTTGCTGGTACTGCTGTAGACTTGAACTTCCAGTCAACAGTACAGTGGAACTCTGGAGGCCTGAGGCTAATGTCCCCATTAACCCTTTTAAATCTGAAGTTGCAAATCAGGTGCCCATAGGACAAAAGCACTCACGATAGTACATTGAATGGCCGGGATGACCCTTGATGGGTTGTTGGCTTTTCAAACGGAGGTAATTTCACACACAAGTCTGACTTCCTAGCTTGAAATATCAGATGATCTGGAAAACTGGACCTGCGTTTGCAGATGGTCACTCACGGGAGCCGCAGAACCACGGCCCCTTTAGCTGGGAAAGACCTTGCCATTTCTCCAAAGTCCCGACGGTTCCTGTGGCTTCATGCACTGTGGGCTTCATCACTGTGTCACCTGCCTGACCCTGTGGGCATCTCATTTGTAACCATTGCTTCAGGGGAGGAGGGCGAGAGGCTGTCAGATTTTGTCAGCTTGATCCTAACATCCCAGCTCATGTTCTGGCCCCCTCCATGTGCCTGATTCTGCCAGCTCCTGCTCTTAGAGGTCAGAGAGCCACCACCAGATGCTGATCTGTGGGCACAAATAGCAGTAGATCTACGTGGCTTGCAAAGAGGTCACTTTGGGGCAGAAGCCCTGCCTCAAACCCATGTAGCTTGCAGGGATAGACATTGTATTTCCTCCTCTGGGAGGTCTTGAATCTGGATGTAAAAACTTTTCTTTTCCCAGCAAACACTCTTGGTAACGCCTTCCCTTCCTCAGGCGAGTACGAACCATGCCCCGACACAGCCAGTCGCTGAGCATGGCCCCCTACTCCGTGAGCCTTGTGGAACAGCTAGAAGACAGGATCCTCTGCCACGAGAAGACCACCGCTGCCCTGGTGGAGCATGCCTTCCGGATTAAGGATGACATCGTCAACAGTTTGCAGAAAATGCAAAACAAAGGGGGAGGCGATCGTTTGGCGAGGCTGTTCTTGGAGGAGCACATCCGAAACATAACCGCCATCGTGAAGCAGCTGAACAGGGACATCGAGGTAAGGCGTGGGCAGGGGGCTAACCAGCACCTCACAGGCTGGGGTATGATTCGAACTGAGCTGTCTTGCTCTTTATGATTGCCAAGGAAACAGCTTGCACCAGGAGCCTAAATTTGTTCCAGGATTTGATAGCAGTTCCTGTCAGTGTTGTTTATGTTTATTCTAAATTTACCTTGCTGATTATTAAATCACCGTGTTTTGTTTGGCTCTGCAGGGAGAGAGAACTAGTCAAAAAGTTTTCTTGGAAAACCCTTCATATCTTTGAAGACAGCTATTAAATCAATTATTGGGTCAGCCTTTGCTCTCCAGATTAAATGTTTCTAGGCGATCCTGATTATTTATTAAATAGTTTATTATTCAGGTAGGTTAGGTACTTGAACTGCTCTTCACATTTCCCTTTACTGCACTTTTGCTCTGATGTGAGCTCAGTAAAAGGCCAATATTGTCTATTTTAGTGTAGTTTTAGAAGTTATAAGTCTACTACTATTCTTTGAACAATCACAGGATCCATTCAGTTTAGTTCAGAAAGCTTGAGATCATTCAGGGCTGAACTTCCATTACTGCCCTAGGGTAATACCATGGAAGCATTAAACAATGAATGGCAATTATATGTCCGGATTAAGGGAACCCTTTGTTTCCTGTCATGGGAATTGTATCTTAAGTATGCTTCCTGAAATTAGATCCTTTCTTTTTCTTTATTATGCCAGATTTGTTTGTTGTTGTTTTTTTAAAACCACCTTTATTGAGAGATAATTTAAATAGCACAATAATTCACCCATTGTAATTGTACAATTTAGTGATTTTTAGTAGATTCATAGACTTGTGCAATCATCAACACAATTCCATTTTAGGACTTTGCCGTCACCCCCTAAAACTTGCACAAGCCCTACGCCCACCCCAGCCCCAGCAACCACTCACCTACTTTCTGTCTTTATAAATTTGTCTTTTCTGGGCATTTCATGTAAATGGAATCATCCATACTGGAGTCGTTCGCTTCTGGCTTCTGTCACTGAACATAATTTCTTTGGGGTTCAACCGTGTCCTCAGATGTATCAGGTTCCTTTGTTATGTCCGAGTAGTATTCTGTCCTGTGAATAGACCACCTTCTGTTTATCCATTTATTAACTGATGGACATTTGGGTTATTTCCAGCTGGAGTTATTGTCACCGAAGTTGCTATGAATATTAGTGTAAAAGTCTTTGATGTGGAGAAGGTTTTCATTTCTCTTGGATAACTCGCTAGGAGTGGAATTTCGGATCTCACAGGGAGCTCTTGTTTAATTTTACAAAGCAGTGTTCCAAGGTGGCCAATCCTGCCAGCAGTGTATGAGCGTTCCGGTGTCTCCTGCACCTCATCAACACTGATACTATTGGGGTGGGCTTTTTCTTGCAGCCCTGATGGAATCACGGCCCTCTCATGTGTTAGGCACAGCACTGTGACACTTTGCTGCACCTGCAGCCCCCACCCTTCCCCTGTGTGTTTAGTTGCCATCAGGTCGGTGCCTGTGTTCTGGTCCCCATGGCTTTCATTTGGAGTTCTCTAATGACTAATGGTGTTGAGTGCCTTTTCGTATGTGTTGTGGACTGGTCGTTTGTAAATCTTTGGTGAAATGTTAATTCAAGTTTTCTGCCCATTTTTTCATTGTGTGTGTATGGGCAGTTACCATTTTATCCATTTTTTAAGTGTATGATCCCTTAAGTCCATGCACAATGCCACCCATCACCACGATCCATTTCCAAACGTTTTCATCACCCCAAACAGCAGTAAGCAACATTTCCCTGGTTCACTCTCCCCTAGCCTTTGTAACCTTGACTCTACTCTTCTGTCTCTATGAATTTACATGGTATAATAGCTTCATGGAAGTGTCATCATATGCTGTTTGTCCTTTTGTGCTGGGTTACTTAGCACAGTGTTTTCATAGTTCATCCACGTTGTAGCATGTATTAGAATCCATTTAAAAATTGGGTTAATTGTTTGTCTTGTTATTTAGAACTGCTGCAAATTTACTGTATAGTTTAGATACAAGTCCTTTATTAGATACATGATTTACAAGTGTTTTCTCCCATTCTGTGGTTTATCTTTTCATTTCCCTAATGTTATCCTTTTATGTGCAAGTTTTTAATATGTTTAGTGGTGCTAGGGATTGAACCTAAGGTCTTGCATATGCTACACAAAAACTCCACCCTAAGCTATGCTCCCAGTCTGAGTTTTAATTCTAAAGAACTCCAGCTTATTGATTCTTTTCTTTTATGGCTTATGCTTTTGTTGTTGTGTTTTAAGAATTCTTTGCTTATTAATACAAGGTTACAATGACTTTTTCCTGTTTTCTTCAGAACTTTTGCTTTTTACATTTAAATCTGAGATCCATTTGGAGTTGATTTTTGTATACAATGCAAAGTAAGAGTCTAAATTATTTTTTGTGTGTTACCATGACATTTGCTGAAGAAAATGGACATCATTTCTTTACAAGTCCATTTCCTCCGTTAGGTTGTGAATTTTTCCAAACGGAAGAGCCACATCTTACTCATCTTTGCATTGTGAGGCACAGTATGGGAGGCAAACCCTATGAATGCTGTTGCACTCCACTGCGCTGTTACAATAAAACATCTGGGAGTGAATAATTTATAAACAGCAGAATTTCTCTGCCCCAGGCTCTGGTGGCTGATGTGGCTTCTGGCTGCATCCCCCGGGGACGGAAGGACATGGGCTGCATCCTCATGTGGCAGGGTGTGGCCTCCCTCCCACAAGCCTGTCTTAGAAAGCCCTGATCTATTCTCTGTTCGCCAGGGTGCTGTTTGATGGCCCAGTCACCTCCTCAGAGCCCCCACCTCTTAACACTGCCATTGAGGATTAAGATTCAGCATGACTGACGCCATCTTGAACAAGTATTTAGTAAGTAAATAAATGCTCCATTTAGACTGGTGCTGGGTGTAGATTCACTAGGAGCAAGAAGGACTAGAAGAGATGCTCTCTGCAAAGTGCATCCTTTCCACATGGACTCAGCAAAGTGGCTGGAAATCTCAAGACTAGTCAATGGCAGTGCTGAGATCAAAGCTAGGCATTAAACTCCAAAAATGGGCATCTTTATCTTTTCTACTTTGCTGCTACGGAGCTTTTCTAGAGCTTTAATTTTCTGTAATCACCTCAATTTTATGTAACAAACTCTCCTTCAGGAAGAACTTGTTCATCACACTAGTTAGTTCTAGCTTTAGTTCTCAGTGAGTTTGCTCTGACCCATCTTTCTTTTGATGAAAGTTCACTTGGACTGCTTTGATAATTAGGGTTATTAACAAGCAAATCTTGGACACCAAAGTCACCGGTCATTTTATGCTTCATTGTTCCCCAAATATCTTTCTTTCCCTTCTCCCTCTCCCTCTCCTTCCCCCAACCATCCCAATACTGAGGATTGAACCCAGAGCCTCACATATGCTAGGCAAGTAGAGTATCTCTCAGCTACATCCCCACCCCTCTTTTAAACTTTAATTTTGAGACAGGGCCTCAATAAGTTGACCAGACTGGGCTCAAATTTGTGGTATTCCTGCCTCAGCCTCACGAATAGTGGAGATTACAGGCGTGCACCACCACTCCTAGCACAAACATATTTCTGTAAGACATCCTGGGGACAGTTTACAATGCAGTGGGCTTTAAAGCAATTGCAATTTTGTTGTTTTTCCAACATGTGAAACACATTTTATGTAGTGATTATTCTTGCCTTACCCTGACAGCACTCTTCCATTTATATGTATTTTTAGAGTATGCAAATTTTGCAAATGAGAAGATGATTTCCACTGCAAAGAAGGAAAACTGAATAAAATCTAACTTTGGCAAAAAAACTTACTTTGGCTATTTGAGTGTCTACTTTTTTTATACATGGTAATAGCCACATACCATATTAAAGTAGTAGTAAGAAAGTTTAGAAATTTAAGACTTCACTAGGGAGTACTAATTATATGGATTTTGCTACATTGTAAAACTAAGCATGTCTACCCAAACATGAGCAAAGTCAGGATGCTTGATGTGACAGCGTTATTACACCATAGCTAGAATTCATCAACATGAAATGATGGTTGTCTTAGTCAGTGTGGGCTGCTATGACTGTGTGGCTTAAGTGACAGAAATGTATTTTTCACAGTTCTAGAAGTTCAAGATCCAAGACCCTGCTTCCCGGTTGGTAGTTGGCTGACTTCTTGTGTCCTTGCCTGGTAGAGAGCACAGAGAAGCAAGCTCTGGGTCTCCCTCCTAGAGGGCACTGATTGCATTGGCGAGGGCTCCACCCCTATGACCTAAAACTTCCCAGAGGCCCCGCCTCCTAACACCATCACATTGGAGGGTGGGATTGCAACATAGGAATTTTAGGGGGACACGCACATTTAATCCATAACAGTGATGTACAGTAAGAATTAAAGAGTAGTAAAAAAAAGTCTTTATCAGTAATATAAAAATTGGGAGGGTAAGTGTTATACAAAGGTGAGAGTTTCATATTTAAGACAAGAGGTGTGAAGATATTCGAACTGTACCTCCCTGTAAAAGGTGTACTTTTTTGTCTGCACATTGTTAATGAATTCTGCAATGAATTGCCTGACTTTTTTTATGTGTGTGTGTTTTTGTGGGTTTTTTTGGTACCAGGGATCAAACTCATGACCTTGTGCTTTCAAGGCAGGTGGCAGCACCACTGAGCTAAATCCCCAGCCCATATTGCCTGACTTTTTTTGAGGGGGGGAGCATGCTGTGGCTGGAACCCAGGACCTTTGCACTCAGCTACATCCCAACCTCCCAGCCCCTTTTTGAGACAGGGTCTTGTTAAATCACTGAATTGCCCAGGCTAGGCTTGAACTTGAGATCCTCCAGCTCAGCCTCCAATAGTGATGGGATTACAGACATGGGCACCAAGACTAGCTATTGTTATTTTTATTACTGATTTATATTTGTTTTTCATTCACTGGGTAAAATTTTTTAGGTATTTGCTTTGTGAGAATCATCACTGCGGCTGATTTTGTGTTGCAAACTAAAGCTGAAGCCAATTCTGAATGTGCACCGTTCTCTCGAGGCTCCTGAGCCAGCCAATCAACGTGAGATCTACTCATCTTTGGTGAATGTACATGGATAAGTCTTTACCACTCTCTATCACATAGCTCTGAACACACTTTATACACAGGGGAAAAAGTAATTCTCTTATCACACCACTGGCTTGTGTGATCTTGAAGAGCTAGAACTGCATTTTAATTTTTGTTTTTCATACTTACTTCAGTGTCTAGCACATAGTATGAGTTCCAAAAATGTTTTGTGATCCAAGTCTCCAGGTCCTTTTCCTTGGCCTCTCTGGAGCCCCCTAGTTAGTAGCTGTCTTCTATGAGCAGATTCCAAAGTGAAGACAGATGACTCTTCCGTGCTAGAAGATAGAAAGAGCTTGACAGATGTTAGTTGGGAAAATCTATTGTTTTAAGACATCCTCACCCATTAGCAGTTTGCCTTGTGATATGGAGTATGTCATCAATAATTTATTCCTCATAAACTTTCCATAAATTATCATCATTATAAATTTAGAAGAGGTAATATAGTCAGCTATGAATTATACATGTCTGGATTACCCAACTGGCTTTGGTTTAAGCAAACCACTTTTACCACTTCCTGAAGCCCAGATCCTGGTTAGTAGTCCATGACGCTTTCGTTGGTTATGAGTTGTGGGCTTGGAGAAATGGTCTCAAGCCTCCAGGCCCACTTAGGGCTCTAGTTTTGGGGGACTGGCCAGGTGGGTCTGCTTGGAATCTGCAGATCTCCTCCTAGTTTCCCTGTGCTTAGATTTCAGTGTCCTGCTAGCTTGGGACACTGGCTTTGACTAGTTGGGTTATGGGAAACGGTTTCATCTAACCCAATAGATGATACACAGTCTGGTTGTTTAATAATTGGCAAGTGGACTGCGGAAGAATTCTCAGAACTCAGATGATGCCTGCTGTATGGGGCTTTAGTAAGACGTCAAAACAGGGCCCGAGGTGTAGCTCAGTGGTGAGCGCTTGCCTAGCCTATGCAAGGGGAGTGGGGTTCAGTCCCCCCCTCAAACACCAAACCAAAACAAGAAACAGCAACAACAAAAACACGGCAAAGCAGAGGCGTAGACAAGGATGTGAGCGTGGAGTTGGACAGAGAGGAAATTGCTTCAGTGTGCACCTAGCACTCCGAAGAGGAGAGAGTTTTTTGACTATTGCACTTCCTGTATTTTACCGGAAGGTGAAATTTCAGCCTGCAGCTGAGGGAACTGGCCCCACTGTAATCCCCCAGCAGCAGGAATAGGTGATTAGCATCCAAATTCATTTTGTTTACTCACCAGACTTGCCGCTAGTCAAGGAGGAAGAGATAGTAAATTCACAGGAATCTGGATATTTGTTCCATTCTATTCACAGGCATGATTGTTGTTTTGTTTGCAGTACCAGGGATTGAACCCTGGGCCTTCACACTGAGCTACATTCCCAGCCCTTTTTAAAAATTTTATTTTGAGACAGTGTCTTAAGTTGCCAAATTGCTTGGGCTGTTATTGAATTTTCAATCCTCCTGCCTCAGCTTCCCAGAGTGTTGGGATAATAGGCGTGTGCCACCACGGTTTGCTAATGTCTGCCTTATTGAGGACCAGAGAAGATGTCACCAGCTTTGTATAAACAGCCTTACAGGGAGTCCCTGCTCTGTGCTCTTTTGAGAAGGGAGGTTCTTTAAAGATAGACGAAGTCTTAGCAAAAATAAGAGAAGACTTGGCCGTCTCCTTTTCCAGGAGGCTGGCTGAACTCTCCCCTCGGCCTGTGTGGAGCATGTTTATGGGATGTCCCCAGCCATCCGAGCACCCACCCTGTGGTCTTTCCCTGTGGCTGCCAAGCTCCTTATAGGCATGTTGGGAGCTCTGCATGCTCTGTGGCTGAAACAGCCCCTCGATTTGACAGTAATGGAGAACTGATGATGTAGTTAAGGCTATGACTTTTTTTTTGAGACAGGTCTCGCTGTGTAGTTCAGGCTGACCTCAGTGATCCTCCTGCCTCAGGCTCCCGAGTGCTAGGATCACCGTGTGTGCCCCACACCCAGCTTGACCTTTCTTAAATCCATGCATCATGAGGACATACTTTTCCAAAATGACCAATGAGTGCGCGTTACCAGCTTTCCAGAGGGGCTGTTTTTCTAAGGCCTCATTCTAGATTTCTGCTTTCACCTAACTTCTTAGTAATGCGAACACTGTAACTCATGTGATTCTTTTCTATATTCTTCTGGGCACTTTTGATACAATACTTATTCATCCGCATAAGAAAGATAAAGGGGCTTTTCTTATTTGTAAGCCTTTAAAAACCACTTTTTTCTGGTTATAAAATTAACGTTTTGTACTGTAATATCACTCTAAAGATAAGCAAAATGTTAACAGTCTTGTACTTTATAAGGGCCTTAGTGCACAGGTGGAATCATGCTGTGCTTTGTGCCCTCTCTTTTTGTTCTATATTAAATTGTACACATTTCCCCTTATTTTTAAAAGTCCTCCCTGAACCTCCTAGTGTTTGTTTTTGTTTTTGTTTTTAGTACCGGGGATCGAACTCGGGTCCTTGCACTTGCGCAGCAGGCGGCGAAACCACTGAGCTAAATCCCCAGCCCATCCTCCTAGTGTTTGTATAACAGTGCACCTTGTGAAATACTTCATATGTGTCCCACATTATGAAGATATCTTTGCGCATACAATTTTTGATGTTTCTCTTATTTTTTTTTTTTCCTTTAAGATGAATTCTAAGAACCAGAGTTCTTGGGTCAACAGTTATGAAGATTATGATTATACTTTGTTGGATTGCTTTTCCAGAGAAATTGTTTCAGGAAAGGCCAACTGGGCTTTCTGATTTTTGTTGTACTTTTTAGTATTATAAATTAAATATATTTGCTTCTTTAATAAGTAAAGATAATATGATTTTTTGGGGGGGTACAGGGGATAGAACTCATGAACTTGCGCTTGGAAGGCAGGCCTCTGCACCACTGAGCTACATCCCCAGCCGTAGAGATGATACGATTTTTAAAAAATGGACTTTGGGCTGGGGATGTAGCTCAGTGAAAAGGCATATGATTAAATTAATATGCACAGGGCCAGGGATTTACCTCATTGGTTCTGCTGCCTGCCTGGAAAGCGCAAGGTCCCAAGTTATATCCCTGGTACCAAAAAAAAAAAAAAAATTAATATGCACAGTAGGGCTGGGGTATGATGCAGTAGTAGAGTGCTTGCCTGGCTTGCAGGAAACCCTGAAGTGGATCCTAAGCACTGAAAAAAAAATTAATATGCATAAGACCTTGGGTTTAATCTTCAGCACTGCAATAAAAGAAAAAAATACAAGTCAGAAATAGATTTTATGGTTTTTGAGCAGTCATAGGTTCACAGCAAAACTGAGCAGAAAATACACAGAGCTCTCATAGGGCCCCTGGCACCCCACCGCCCTCCGCTAGAGAGGTCCACGATAATGGTATGGCTGATTTCCTGTCTCCTTGCTTACTAGATAAGTCGAACCTTTTAAGAAATGTTAACTATTTTTAGCTCCTTGTCTGTGAGTTTCTTTCCATTTTCTTTGTTAAGTGATTGAAAAACAACCCAAAGGAAGTAAGAGCGGTTGTAGCCTTTGCTGTTTCTGTGGCATGGAACGAAGCACCATTCCGGTGTGGTCCGTGGGCCCGGACAGCCACATTCCTGGCCTGTTTCCTTGCTTTGGTTTTGGGCTATGGGACGTGGGGTTCCGCATGTGAAACAAGCCACCTGGGTGATGCTGATGGACCCCAAAGGCGCTTGAAACACAGGTTTTATGCCTAATTATAGGCAAAGGTTTGAAGCTTTCCATACAGAACGATGGATGTTACCTTCTATTACCTGTGGCCTATAGGGAGCGCTGCATTAGCGAGGAGAGAGCGCCAGCCGGATTAGTCACCTCCGAGGGCTTCTCGCAGGAACAGCTCCGGATGACTAAGGTTGTGTCATTCACAGGTGATTGTAACGAGTCTGCATTCTTCTTCCTAGAGCAGGCTCATTGAGAAAAAGCTGGAAACTACCGGAAATAACAGACAGGTCTTCCAGATGCCTTTCAGTGGGAAACTTTGTGCTGTCAATGTCCCTCTGTCCAGAATGGCCCCTACCAGGCCTCCAGTAAGGAGCACACAGGATATTCACGTTCCTAATTACTGGTTTTTGGTGAGGAAGTTTGAAAAATCCCTTAAAAAATTCATAGATGCACTTTTCTGTATATTACGCCTCAAAGAAAACAGTTGAGGGAAGGGCACATAGAAATAATGTGAGGATGGTTGCATTGTTTGGGAGTGGGCTTGCCTGTTCTTTTGCAATGGGACTGCAGATTGTATTATCAGAAACCATCAGATTTCTCCAAATAAACAGTAAGCAGGAGCCAGGGATTTAGCTCAGTGGTTCTGCCGCCTGTCTCACAAGCACAAGGTCCCAAGTTCGAGATCCCCAGAACCAAAAAACAAAACAAAACAAAACAACACAACCAGTAAGCAGGATTTGCCCGAAATCCCTGTACTGGAGCAGGACGTAAGGGAAGGATTTGGACAGCCGCAGGCCTGGGACCTAAGGTTTTGTTGCTTCCTCCTGCAAGGCTGAGGCAGGCTGAACGCTGTGGGGGTGAGGAAGGGCCGTGGAGAGGGCTGTGACCCCGCTGTCTATGAGCTGGGGGGCAGAGGAGGGCACGAGGTGAGAGACCTTTTCCTGGCGCTTCTCCTGTCGCTGCATGCGCCTCTGGGGTCCCATGAGCCCTTACTTAAAGCACTGGGAAAAGACGGCCATGTCCCACCCAGCGGGCCCAGTGGTTGGGGGAAGAAGAAAGACCTCAGTCCCAGTGTCTAAGCCACAGGTGCCCTGTAAACAAACAAATCCACACATTTGGGAGGTTCTGGTACCACGCACAATTTCTTTCTTGAATTTAAATTTTGAAAAGTCAAGCAGATGAATCACAATGAATTTTCTGCCCTCAAGACAAAGGAGAAGAACTTCCTGAGTCCTCAGCACTAAATGCAGAGATTGCAAGCAGAAGGAGGGAATGGGGAAGCCTTGCTGGACAAGATCTAGGAGCTGGGGGACTTGGGCAACAGGGCTTCCACGAGGAGGAGAGAAAGGGAGTCGACGGATTAAAAAAAGCCAACACCAGGTATAGTCTGATAAAATTCCTGAATTCCAAAGGTGAAGAAAAAATCTTACATGCTTCTAAGCACCAAAAGCCAAGGTCCTCCCCAGGAAGAACCTTACCATTTCCTGACAGCCTTGAAGGTCAAGGTTGCTGAGAGGAAAGCCCTTTAAGCCAAGTGCTCCACTTCCTGTCCACATTCCTCGCCCTGGGCCGAGGAAGGAAGTTTATCACCTGGTGGGAGGGGGAGGCTTTCCTCAGGGCCTGGTCTGATTCCTCAACTGGGAAAATGACTCTAAAAATGCCAGACAGAGACAAATGAGAGGGAAAAGTTAAACGGTAATTGATGGTCCTTTAAAAAAGACCTTTGTGGTTTTGTGTGAATAGATATTGATAAATACTTGGGACTACGTAACCAAAACCTTAATAAGTAAAAACCAGGGCTGGGGATTTAGCTCAGTGGCACCATGCCTGCCTCGCAAGCACAAGGTCCTGAGTTTGAACCCCAGTACTGAAAAAACCAACCAAACAACAAAACACTGAAATATGAGACATTCTGCAAGCAGAATTATAATTATAGCCCAACTAGAAATATCAAGATATTTTAGCAAAGCCTAGTTAGTGAGGGTGGAGAGCAAAGCAGTTCCCTTCTGGTGTTGAATAGTAAAGGTGTAGTGACAGCACTTGGGAGGCTGAGGCAGAAGGGTCGCAAGTTTGAGGCCAGTTTAAGCAATTTAGTGACTTACAGAGACCCCGTCTCAAGATAAAAAATAAAAAGGGACAGGAGTGTAGCTCAGTGTCAAGGCCTTGGGTTCAGGCCCCAGTATCATAAAAAAGAAGAGTGAGGGTGGGAGCCATGAAAGCATGCTGTGTTTTTATGGGCTGTGTGAGGACAAAGCCTGGAATGGACAAAATGGCTGCTCATGGGATGACAGAGACAAGGCCGGAGCGTTTCCCAGGTAACAGGTCAAGCCAGTCTCAGTGAGGGTGGGAAGATGGAAGAACAACAGCAAAGCAACACCCATTGAGAACATAAATGAGAGGACCTTCTATGGAGCCAGACTCCGTGGGTTTGAATCCTGGCTCTGCTACTCATTAACCATGCGGCTTTCAGCAAGCGATTCAGTGAGCTAATACTTCCAGCGCATTGACCATGCCCAGTATGTGATCTAACCAAGCGATGAACACAAAGAGGAATTTTGCCTCATTATTTGTAAAGCATAGTCGCAGTGTTAACATCGGGTAGGCACTAAATAGGGTAAAGAAGGCTACTATATGATGTTAATAAACACTTTACCATGCCTCCGGATATACCAAAGAAAATGGCGGCTACATGCAGAACTTGATAAAAGTGTTTGACAGTGGGAGAATTCATTGTTCCTCTTTGACAGCTGCAGGGATGTGGTAGACAAAAATAAATAAGATCTGAGTGTGGTGGCACATGCCTATATCCCAGCTACTTGAGAGGCTGAGGCAGGAAGATTCCAAATTCAAGATCAGCTTTGACAGCCTATCTAGTGAGACCCTGATTCAAAATAAAATTAAAATTAAAAAAATAAGAAAGGACTGGAAGATAGCTCAGTGGTAGAGCACTTGCCTAGTGTGCATGAGGCCCTGGGTTCAATCTCTAGTGCTAGAAAAATAAATAAGATCTAGAGAAAATGAATCATAGATTCAGCAAATACATTGCAATAGATAATGTTAAGTCTTTCATTTCTCAAATAGCAAATAAGTATTTTTAGTCAGTTGTGGTGGCACACACCTGTGATCCCAGCACTCTGAGGGGCTGAGGCAGGCGAATCACACATACCAAGCCCAGTCTGGACAATTTAGCAAGACCCTGTCTCAAAATAAAAAATAAAAAAATGGCTGGAGAATGTAGGTCAATGCCAATCCCCAGTACCATCAACAAAAAACCAATCATCCGCTACAAAGCAAACTTGAACATATTCAAAATATTAAATGTTAACAGACTATATTTATCATTAAGCCAGTGTGAGGAGAATTAATAAAAATAACCACAAAAACGTAACTGCTTGAAAACGAAGACTTAAAAATTCTAAATAATGCCAAGTAATCCTTAGATACCTAGATAGCTTTAGATCAAAGAGGAATTCAAAACTGAAAAAACAATAAGAAAGAAAACATCAAAACAAACACAAAAGAAACCCACTTCACACTCAGCCTATGGGTGCAGCAATATTAGACTTAAAGTCAAATGGCTCATGATTAAGAAAAATAATAAAAATAAAGTACTTAGTTTGTATTGGGAAATTCAGTCTGGAGTGGTCTCTAAAATCAGTCCCTTTTTATCTTCCCTGTCTCTGTCCGCCCCCACCCCCCCGTTCTCTGTATATGTTTGTTGGGTGACTGTTAAAAAGGAATCTCTTATGAAAAAAAAAATGGGTTAAACAATCTAATTTTTTCCCAAAGCACAAAACGCTGAGATGTGCGTCCATCCACCCGTGATCCCCTTGGCCTTTGTGTCCCCAGGTCCTGCAGGAGCAGATCCGCGCCAGGGACAACATTAGCTACGGAACTAATTCTGCCTTAAAGACCCTGGAGATGCGGCAAATGTCCGGTCTGGGGGATCTCCGCGGAAGAGTGGCCAGGTAGGTGTCCGGGTGCTGGGGAC